TGTTGTGTTTTGTTTCCTCTTTTTTGTAATAGATTTTTGTGATGCTCGATGTAATTTGCTTCCTGTTGGTGTGAAAATACTGTTGAAAAGTGATTTGGGAAAGACTTATTTTACTTTACACTTCCGGGTTGCAGTCCATGTCTACGGGAAGCCAGACTGGGACTCAAGGCAGGAACCTGGAGCTAAAACCGCAGAGGAATGTTGTTACTGGCTTGTGACTGCTTGTGCGCAGCTGTAGATACCTGCCTAGGAGTCGTGTCAGTTGCAGTGGGCTGGGCCCTCTCCCATCAGCAGTCTCTCATAAACACAGGAAAAGCAGTTTGATTTGGGCAGTTCCTCAGCTGAGGTTTTTTTCTTTCCAGGTGACCTGCTGCCATGCTCTTGTCTTCAGCGGCACTCCACCAGTGTCCACAGAGTCTTCTCATTGCTTAGGTGACAGCATCTCATCTCCTTACATGCTGTCTCAGTTAGAACCCTTATAAAGAAAGACATTTAACTGGGACTAGCTTACAGTTTCAGAGGTTCAGTCCATTATCATGGTGGGGAAACATGGCAGTGTGCAGACAGACATGGTAAAGTACTGCGTCTGAATCTGCAGACAGCAGAGAGTGACACTGGGTCAGACTTGAGCTTTTAAAACCCCTGAAGCCCACCTTGCAGTGACAACATCTCCAATAATACCACTCTATGAGTCTGTGGCAACCATTTTCATTCAAACCACCACACATCCATATACTGGAATCTGTTCATTTGATCCTCAGATAGTTCACATTTTTTTCGTATTGTATCCTTGGTGGTAGGACCACAAAAGCAGAATTACTGTACCAGTGTATTGATTTTTGCAAACTACTGCCTTGGATATGTTCTTTTTTTCTTCAGTCCCATGATAGTGTATGTTGTCAAGCCTTTTGAATTTTTACCAGCTAGAATTGTTGAGGAAAGGTTCGTTGTATCATCTTGAGATGGTTTTGTCATGGATAGAGTGGTTTATTCTTTTGTATATTTAAAAGCTTTTGCAATACAAGTTGGAACTTTTTTGTTAATTGTGTTATGACATGAGAGGTGTGTGTTCATTTTGGACAGAGACTCACCTTGGTAGCTCTGGCTGGTTTGAACTCAATGTGTAGCCCAAACCTTAGCCCTAATTTTCTGTGTTCTGGGATTTGAGCCGTATGCTGCCAGCTACTGTACCTGGCCTAAAAGAGTTTTATGTATATGTCTTTGCATTCCTTTTGTTGCTTTAGGGTTTGAGCATGAGTTTTCTCCCTGTTCCTGTCTTGTGATGAAATTTACTGTGCTTTCTTGTACAGATTCTTCCCCCCTCAGTTAGTGAAGAGAACTTCAGAAGACATTTCCTAGGGGCTTCTAGATCTCAGTAAGGTGCCAGTTGAGATTAACCATCACGGGCAGAGTATTTGTTGAAGTGAACCAAAGTTGCCTACTTACAGAAGTACTAAATAATGAACATTGAAAACAACTTTTCTTAATATGTGAAATAATAGAAGCCCAGGAGTTAGCAGTCTGCAACTGACTACAACCTAACTGGGTGGAGAGCTTTTTAAGAAATCGTCCCTGACCCTTGTCCTCCACAGACAGACAGACAGACAGACAGACAGACAGACACACACACACACACACACACACACTCCTGCCCAAGTTTATTGAGAAGTGATGGTTGTTTTCCTTACAGCCTTGCTGTTTAATACAGGCTGACCTAGAACTTATTACCTAGCCTAAGCGCAGCTCAAACAGCAGTCCTTTTCTGTCTCAGTCTTTTGAGTGCAGAGATTACAGAAGTATACCAATTTGCTTGGTCATTTTTTTTCTTTTTTGTTTTCACAGTTCTTACTAGGGATTGAAATAGGGTCTTGTACACATGGGATTTTTTTTTTCAAAAAAAAACTAGTTAAGGAAACTGGAATATATAGCTTCTGGACTCTAGATGTTTTTTCCTATTCATTTATTTCTTCTCAGATTTTTCTTGTATCTACTGTAAGACCAAAGAAATAATTACTGGCATAATTTTCTTGAGATGGAAGTGGGGCAGAAGCTTTTTTTCCTGTGGACAGTGTACTTAACCCCTCTGTTTTCCCCCACTTAATGCTGATGATGTTAGAACTCAACTCTTAGATTGATAATTCAATGTAGAATTCTTAATACCCAACATTTAGTAAGCTCTTCACTGTATGTTAATTACAATAACATACAATTATTACAGTTTGTCTATTGGGTCACTATAAACCCAAATTTTAGACTCAACAATTGATTTTATTAATTTTTAGGTCTGATAAAACTTGGTAGATTTATTCACACCAACCAGATTAGAATTGGCTGAGGAACTAAACAATGTTAATCTTTATTAAGAGACTATTCTGGTTATAAAGTATACTTGGCTATTCGTGTGGAATGTGAAACTAAATTACCCATTAACACTTATGTAGTGTTAATTGAAGCCATGTCCAAATATTTTATAGGCTGTTTTATTTCAGCTTGACAAGACCTGAAGAATTGTTTCATTACAAAGATCAGCAGGAGTACCAAAAGAGTGGCTTTGGGGTGAAGACACAACTGCCTCCTCACTCCCCTGGGAGGGTAGTAGCTGATCATATGAGTAGGAGATTTATACTTGAGTTTCCTTTCTCTGTAAAAGGTGCACCACACACAGTGGCTTACTGTGAGGACAGTGCAGTGATTTGCCTGCTTCTCTGTGTCTGCCCCTATCTAAAAACAGTTGGTTCTCCTTGGGATGTTAGAGAGCATGCCTTCCTTGCCTACTAGTAGCAGACTTTGTGTCTACATGGTTTTGTTGTTTTACTTTGTTTGTTTGGTTTTGGTTCTTTACTACCAACTGATTTATTTGATAGTTCTCAGAGAAACTGATGCCTTCTTGACAGGTACATCTGACTGCTTTATTATTATAAATGGTACAGATTGCTTGGTAGCAGAATGCTTACGTGCTATGGACATTTACCTGCTTCAATGGTGTGACACCTACTAGAGAGAGCTTTTGGGTACTGAGGACAGTTGTGCAAGTGTTTGGGATATTTAAAAGAGCGTTCATTGTGATATAAATATGTCTTCAGGCTGGTGGTAGGGAAAAATCTTGCAAACTTGTGGTGAAAATAGGGCTTCCATATAGAAACTTGGATTTATATAACTTGGTTTTATTGTGAGTTTTTTTTTCCCCCTGTGATATTTGGAAACCTGTAGAGAAGAGACCAGAATCTGAAGTGGAAGGCACTTAAGTAAATCCAGTGGGCTGGGGGAAAGAGGGAGTCTGAACCAGAGACAGGATAAAAGAGAGATGAGGAAATAGCACGTAAGAGTATTTGATGCAGAGGCTGGCGTGTAGACAGTGTTAATGTTACTAACGTTAATTTTCAGGTTCTGGTTCAGATAATTTATCCACCTGCCTATATGCCTTTACACCAGAAGAGGGCACCGGATCTTATTATAGATGGCTGTGAGCCGCTGTGTGTTTGATGGGAATTGACCTCCAGAAGACCTCCAGAAGAGCAGCCAGTGCTCTTAACCTCTGAGTCATCTCTCCAAGACCCTGCTTTTTGTTAGTGTTTTTGATTCATTAATATCTACAGAAAAAATTGTTGATGGGGGAAAACTAGAGAGGTTTATTGGTCATGGAGTGAGAATTTGACTTCGGAGAGAAGGGAAAGCTCCTATAAAGAAAGCATAAAGTCAGGGTAATTGTCACTGAGCCTGGTGACATAGTTTCATATCTGGCCATGGTAGAAGGAGAGAGCTGACTCTTACAAGTTGTCCTTCACCTCAACTGAAACATAGTGGTATGTGTGTACCACCCTCTTCAATAAATAAATGAAAAGACTTTGCTTTACCCCTGCTCAGTTTCTGATTTTATAATTAGATGCAAAGGGTGAACAGAAAGAAGAATCTGTGGTGTTAATAGCACAGCTAAGTCCTTATTCCTGCTAGAGACATGGGTATGATGACCTATACTTGGATGCAACCTATCTTTTGGAATTTTGTTGGAAATTACTGCATTTATTAAGAAAATAAAAGGAGGCTCACAGTTGTGTGAACTTTGGCTTATCTTAGAGTTCAAGGGAGAATGTGAAACCAAGCACCTTGGGCTGGAAATCCACCCTCACTTTTCTCCGTAAGATTTGAGATGTACCTGAAATGTTCATTTAGTATGATAATTCACATAAAAATGAGTTAAAATGTCATTTATTTAAAATGCTACTATTGGGATTAGGGAAATGTCAGGTACTTTTAAGAGCTTAGAGGTGGGCAGACTCTGGCAGTGGAGGTATGGACTTTCCAGGCAGTGGATCTTGGTTTTAATTCTGTTAGCTGGCATTTTCTCCCTTCTTTGAGATATAATTTATTACTGGCTGGCCTTGAGCCCCTTAACCTCCTACATCCCTCCCAAATGCTAAGATTACAGATATGCACAATCATATGCTCAATGGTGAGATCTTGAAGAGGGGTTTAGTAATAGTATCTGTTAGACAGCATGGTTGTAAAGACAAACAATGCATGCCATGCTATACATGGCACTGACTAAGAACTAAGTAAACATCAGCTGCCGTTGATACCAGCTGCTCTACTGCCTTTGTTTTATATGTGAGAGGTAAGGCAAAGAGAACTCTAGACTAGTAGTTATCAACCTTCATGATGCTTCAGCCCGTTAGTATAGTTCCTCATGTTGTGGTGAACACCAACGATAAAATTGTTTTCATTGCTACTTCATAACTGTAACTTTGCTATGTCTGTGTTTTCTGATGGTTTTAGGTAACCCCTGTGAAAGGGTCCTTCAACTTCCAGGTTAAGAAATGCTGTTCTAGACAATTTGTCCAAAATCACACTTGAATATTAAAAATCTATTACTTACCTTCTAAGATGTTTGTGATAAACATTTGAAAAAAAAACTGATGATAGTCTTTTTATTTATTGTTACTAAAAAGTGAATATTTTCAGAGCAGCTTCTCCAGTAATATACTTTGTTTTCTTCTAGGATCTGGAGTTTCATGGAGTCATGAGATTTTATTTTCAAGATAAAGCTGCTGGAAACTTCGCAACAAAATGCATTCGGGTATCTAGCACAGCAACCACTCAAGATGTGATTGAAACACTGGCAGAGAAGTTCCGTCCTGATATGCGCATGCTGTCCTCTCCCAAATATTCCCTCTATGAAGTGCATGTCAGTGGAGGTCAGTGGAGGCTTTGTCCTGACCTGGGGTCATGGCTTGTGCAATGTGATAATCAGGTCCCAGGCTTGCTGCTCGACTCCCTTTTCTTTCTTTACCCCGTCCAACAGTTATTGGCAGGATGGCAAACTATTTTAAGTCTGAGAACTATTCAAATTCTTGTACATAACATTTATTAGAAGTTATGATAATGTATTTGATATGATTATTTCTTTTTTAAAGACTTACTATGTATATAGGGTTCTTGCGTGTATGCTTTCAGGCCAGAAGAGGGCACCAAATCTCATTACTAATGGGTGTGAGCCGCCATGTGGTACTGGGAATTGAACTCAGGACCTCTGGAAAAGCCGTCAGTGCTCTTAACCTCTGAGCCAATGATTATTTCTTTAAAATAACCAGCCCAATGATTATTTCTTTAAAATAAATGCCATTAGCATTTCATTAAAAAATTTACTCAACCTATCTGAGTGTCTTGTATATCAATAGTATTGTGTGCTACATGCTTTCGTATAAAATCTCAGCTATAGATGATAATGCCATGGTTACTTGTAACTCAGATAAATATTGTATAGGTTAAATCAGTGATCTTGCCGTTATATTTTTGCATTCTGTTAACAGCACATTTTTATTATTCTTTGGAAACAGTAGGACATCTTGAGGAAAATCTCTTTATATATTTTGTAATTTCTACTTGTTTTAACATTAACAGTTGTTGTGTGAGACTATTACTGGGGAGACATGAACAAATATTTTCTTACGCCAGATAGAGAATCAACAATAGACCAGAGTCCATCTTGATGAACCACTGAGTTTTGGGGGAGTTTACTTAGAGGAATATGAGTGAAGGGACTATTTATAAGAGCAGAAATGACTCAAAGACAGCTATATTATAAAAAGCCTATTCCCGTATGGGTGACAGCTCTTGAAAGCTGAAAAGCTATAGCAGACCACAAACCTCAGCAGATTGGAGGCTGCTCTCTCTGGTCAGCTTGACTGGTCTCTGCTCTTTTGTAGCTCAGCTAGTCAGAGCTGTAGCTTAATTTGTCTGAGAGTGTCTCAGCAGTCCTTACTGCCTATATATGTTTGTGGAGGTAGGGAGCCTAGAGAATCTGATCAGTTTTAGGGACTTCCTGAAGCTGTTGAGTTGTGCTTCCCTATAGGGATGGAATGTTTGACCTCTCTTTTGCAGACTCTTTGTCTTAATGTGCTTTTCTTCAAGATGGAGTTTTTCTCCCCCAGGAAATTGCTGTCTAACAGCAGTTAATAAAAGTGTCTTGCAACTCAATACCACAAGTTAGGCTGACTAGAAATGCAAAAATGTAAATATTTTATAGATACTTTTGAAAATGTTTAGTAACGTATTAAAAATTATTAAGTACAACTTAATAATTGTATAGCTAAATTGTATAATAAAAGTATAGCTAAAAAGGGTTATAGATGGCACAACATCAATTTCAATGCATCTTAATTTTCAGCTATAAAGTTTTTAAGACATAATAATTTTTCTTTATTTTTATGTATACAGCTTTCTTTGTACATTTGAAATAAGATTGAAATGTTTTTGATATGTTGGATTTTCTAGTGGTACATAACCTTTTTTCAGGAATGTATAATATGGTCCATATTTACTACTTTATGACTCCCTGTGTAAATTTTAACCAGATTAAAATCAGCTGCAGAGGGTGTTCTCTGTTCCAGGTGATTTTCTTGGAGATATGTTTTCTTTGACCTGCAAATCTCTATAAATAGGATAACAAGAAAAGAAACTTCTCTTCAGTCTGTTTGGTTATTCAAATATAACATCACCAAGGGCCTTAGAATAATATTAAAGATTAGAATTTGAGTTCTAAAATTATGATTATAAGTTTTCAAAAAACTCTTCATGTGTTCTTCATTATCATTTTTCTCTTTGTTCTCTTTGTTTTCCGTTTTGTTTCATGCTGTGGATTAAAGCCAGGGTCTCAAGCATGTTAGGCAAACTGTATACCACCAAGCTATGTCTCTAGCCTCAGCATCTGAGTGCAATCTTTGAATGGTGTATTACTTGGCCGAAAAGAATACATAGCTCTTCCTTGTATTATGTAGCTTCAAATAGTTAATATTTAACAAAGACTTGGTTAGCTTTTTAAAAAATAGTACATATAAATGAAAGGAAAGCTAAACTTTGTATTTTAGTCTTGATTATAATGACACTAATGAGAATTGTGCCTCCTGAACCTGGTGAGCTTCTCTGACACAGAACTTCCTTTTGCATCCGCACACTACTGGGAGAACGTTTGCAGCAGATGTTATAGAACAGGAGCTCACTTGGAGTCAGGGCTCTTTAGTGTCTGGTAGGTACATCTGCTCCTTACACATATCAGAGCTTGTTCGTGGCCCACTATCTCTGAGCGCCACTTCTTATCTGCTTTGCTTTCATGGGCTAAAGCCTGGGTCCAACCCTTGGTTCAGTCATAGGGAAAATAAATTGATTATTTATTTGTTTAATATTATTGGGATAGTGTGCACATGTCATGGAGTGTGTGTATGGAGGTCAGAGGACAGTTTGATTGAAGGGAAGATGAGTGCGTCCATCACTTGAGACAGTGATGGGCCTGTTGCCATTTCTTGATAAGGAAGATCTGAGGCATCAATGGGATTGTATGTACCATTAACATGATTTCCTTATCTTCTAGTTGCATATGAGATAGTTGGATATATAGAAATGTTCATCTCTTTAGTTTTCTCAGTTAGATCAGAATAAAGGAAGTATTCTTTCCTTCTCAGTGTTTGGCATTGAATCTACCATGACAAACACAGTAGCAACAAAATAACCTACTAATTAAAACTGATTTGAAATTCCTAACAATATATTTTACCTGCTCAGTATCTAGCATGGTAGAGCAGTAGCATCAAGGTACTGGACTGTTTCAAAGTGATTTAAGATAATAAACAATACATTTCAATCTATCAGCAGGTAATTGAGGGACCTTATGTGCATAAATTAAAGTTATCTCTTATGGCAGATATTGTGCTCCTGTCATGAAATGACCACGACTTTTTCTTTTTTTTTTTTCCATTTCATGTTTTGAAGAAGAAAGAAGATTAGACATTGATGAGAAGCCTCTAGTTGTGCAGTTGAACTGGAACAAAGATGATCGGGAAGGTAGATTCGTCCTTAAGAATGAGAATGACGCCATTCCTGCCAAGGTGGGAGCTGTCCCTGTGTCTGATGCCAGCTGCAGTCCAGGGCTGGGTCAGTGGAATGGACAAGGCTTATGTTCTGCCATAGGAGCTTCTCTCTGCTTTTTTTCCCTATAGTCCTTTACCTCCTAAAACACACTTGGGAAACAGTCTGTTCTACCTGTTTCATCTTTTAGTTCACCTGGTCACCTACTGCTCCAAGAAGAAGAATTCTGTATGCTTTTGAGAAAATGTTGATAACCAATTTGTCATTTTCAGCTTTCTTCCAAATTATAGAATCAAAGTTGTTCCTGTAGGAAATGAAAGGGACAGAGGAAATGTTGAGTACTTACTTGGATGTGCAGCTTCCTAAGGCACACTTAACACATTTTCATATTGTTGAGATATGAGGAGTCAAGATGAGAAGTCGGAAAGCATCCTTGGGTTTTTGGGTGGTGTGGTAGACTGTTGCAGTTGCTCTTTTGTTGCTGTGATAAGCTACCCTGACAAAAACCATGTAAAGGAGAAAGGGTTTGCTTTGACTCACATTTCCTGGGACCATCCTAGAGGCAGGATTACATCATACTCCACTGAGATAACTTGAAAGTGTGTAGTTCTGTGCTCAGTTGAGTGGCATCTTACGTAACATTTTGTTATTAACAAATGATAGCAAATACAGAGGTTGAAAATATTGTCTAAATTTTCACCTTATGAAAGGAGTTTCCTGCTGCCTCCTGTCCATGTTGTCTGCTATCCTGGATAGCTACACAGAAGTGCTCTTGGCCTTCCTTGTCACTAGGTTCTGGTGGTTACCTACATTTGTGGCTAATATGTGTAAAGTCGAATGGGTCCCATGGCTTTGCTATCTTTGCTTTATACCCTGATTGCAGCTGGCGTTGTTCTCATCTGCTTACTTTGCTATTGACCACTGACCCTTACTGGAATGTATGAACTCTTCTTAGGACCAATACAATGTCATAAGTGTCTATGAAAGAAAAGAAGGAATATTAATAATAATGTTCTTTTTCATTCACCTTATAACAAAGCTTTGTTTTTCCCCCTTCCATATCATAACTATTATTTTTCTTCTTTATGTATTAAACTACTTAAAAATAATGTAGCTTTGTGTGTTAACAGGCCAAGTTTATAGGTTAAAAATTCAGACTAAGGCCAGGTGGTGGTGGTGCACACCTTTATTCCCAGTACTCGGGAGGCAGAGGCAGAGGCAGACAAATCTCTGTGAGTTCACGGCCAGACTGGTTTACAGAGTGAGTTTTCGGACAGGTTCCAAAGCTACAGAGAAACCCTGTCTTGAAAAACAAAAAACAAACAAATTCAAACTAGGATAAGCAACTAATAACAAGATAAGTAAAATAAATCACACATTTTCCAGAAATAGGTACAACTTTAATTCATGAAAGCTAGGTTATAGATAGCTACTGCTAGCATTTCTTTTACAATAGAAAAATACCTATCAGTAGACTTTTTGCCTCCTTATTTCCGGTAGATTCCCTTCTCTCAAGTTACTTTATGGTAACTTTTGAGTTTTACTTATTAAAAATCAGATTTCCTGATTTGTACCCCATTTTCTTTCTTTCTATTTTTTTATTGCACCCTATTTTGTGTGTGAATTTGGATTTTTATTTTCTTGTTTTAAATTGAGGTGAGATTTATATATGGTGAAATGGATACATCTTGAGTGTACAGTTTGCTTGGTTGCGACAGATTTTACAGTGTTACTCTCCCCATCCTGATTCCTCCTGTTTGAGTTTGTTTACTTGTTTGGCTCTGTGGTGAAGGCAGCAGTGGAGCCTGAGGAGCCCGTGTGGATCCTGGGTCATGGTTAGTAGGCTGATGGTGTTCCTTTTACCAGAAGGCTCAGAGTAATGGACCTGAGAAGCAGGACAAAGAAGGCGTCATTCAGAACTTCAAAAGAACGCTTTCAAAGAAAGAGAAGAAGGAAAAAAAGAAGAGAGAAAAAGAGGCACTGAGACAAACCTCTGATAAGGAAGAAAGGCCTTCACAAGGGGATGACAGGTAGGCCTTTCTGGAAATATTTTTGTCACTGTGTGTGTAGTACAGCATGGGTAAATGATGATACAAACCAAGTGTGTATAATACAGCAAACTTGACTCAATGATGGATAAATGATGGCAAAGCTGAGTGATACTGCCAGGTTTATTTTAAACTTGTCCTTCTATATGTAGCAGGTGGCCCTCTCGAGAGGAAGACTCTGCTCTCTTTTGGCAAACACTAGTTAATCTTTTGTCTGAGAAGACCACCAAATTCAGTTGTCCTTGTATCTTCAGCTAGTCCTTTGAAACTCGTTTCTGTGACTTTGAAGCAATTATGGTTCTATATTTTGCTCATATAAACTGACCAGAGTTGGCAGGACCAGGCCGCTGAGCAGATTTTCCTTCTCAAATTCAAATGCAGCGTGGACATTCCTGTTTTTATTTCTCTGTTGTAGGTGTAGCCTCTTGTGAGGTGATAGCTGTGTAGTTGATTGTGAATAGTATTAAGTAGGCTTATTTAATGGAGTTATGCAAGAGAGAAAAGGTGAATGAACATGCTGCTCCTATATGGAAAGCATCCTGGAGAAGGAGAGTTTAAATAGGACACCATGTGGCTTGCTCTTTCCTTGGTTTGCTTTGTGAGAGGTACATTATTTGGTTTAGAAAATGAACTATTTCAGATGAATTAAATCATTTAACCTGATAGTTTAAAGTGTGACTTATTTTGAAATAAATTATTTTATGATTACATATTGATTATAATTATGTTGATATTGTTAAAATTTATCCAAATATTTGTTTTTTTTTTATTATACTTTATATTCAGTCTCTGCCCATCACTTTGTACAGTTGACTGGCTTTAAACTCTCAGATCTACCTGCCTCTGCCACCTGAGTGCTGGGATTAAAGCCATGCACCGCCACCTTACTGAGAAACTGTGTTTTTAATCTCATGGTAATTAGCATGTGGTAACTAGTAAACAACAGGCCTATAAGGGAACAGACGTACACAGATGACATTTGCCATTGTGATGTATGTATTTCTGAGAGAAAAAAATGTTTAAAATATTGTTGGTGATCTTTTCTTCTTACAGCGAGAATTCTCGACTGGCTGCTGAAGTTTACAAAGACATGCCTGAAACGAGCTTTACTCGGACAATTTCTAATCCTGAGGTAGTAATGAAACGGCGGCGGCAGCAAAAGCTTGAAAAAAGAATGCAAGAGTTTCGGAGCTCAGATGGGCGGCCTGACTCAGGTACAGAGAGAACTGCTTTTCTTCAGATTCAGTGTAGAATGTATTCAATTATACTTTTTATAAATGTATTTCTTACACTAGAAAAGGTGAAGTAGCCTTTTAGTAGCAAGTATGTCCCATGTATGTCTTACAGAATTCTTTTTATTTAGAGATGGCATCAGTCACATACCTAGCCACATGGCCCTTCTCCTCCACCCCTCAACCCAGAAAACGTTAGACATAGACAAAAGACAGGAAAGATAATTACCACAATCTTAAAAATTATTAACTCACACATTCTTTTCTTTTACTATGCATTGCTTTCTAAGTCCCAAACTACTTTTTGAGACAGATTACACACTTACTAGTTCTCTATAAATATTTTAGTATATTTTCACGAAGGGTGAAGAATCATAATAAAATATAACTCCTGCACTGTTATCACATAGAGAACTAACATTTATGTAATCATGTGCTTACTCGTTGTTTAAACTTTCCTGATGGCTTTTGATATTTTCTTTCACACACTTTTACACACACACACACACACACACACGAGTTATATAATTTCAAGTCTGTCATTCTAGAATTTCCTTTTAGTCTCCTTTGTGTTTTGTTGTTTTGTTAAAAACTTAGGTGTACTGGTTGGCTTTTGTCAACTTGATACAAGCCTGGGCATATTTGGGAAGAAGGAATCTTAGTTAAGAAAATGCCTCCATGAGATTGGCATGTAGGCAAGTCTGTGGGATATTGTCTTGATTAATGATTGATGTGGGAGGGTCCAGCTTGCTATGGGTGTTGTCACCTCTGGGCTGGTGGTTCTGGGTTGTAAAAGAAAGCAGGTTGAGTAAGCCATGAGGAACTAGCCAGTAAGCAGGGATCCTCCATAGTCTCTGCTTTGGTGTTGCTCTTACGTTCCTGCCCTGACTTCTCAGTAGTTGATGGACAGCTGTAAGCTGACATAGACCCTTTCCTCCCCAAGTTGCTTTTGCTTATGGTGTTGTTTATATCTATAGAAACCTTAACTAAGGCCTTAGTTTTTTTGTCTAATAGATTTTGGTGACATCCTCAGATGCTCATTATTGTTTTCCCTTCTGTTTTTTGTTTTCTTGATTGGGATGTAGATACAGGTGTAAATGAAACTATTGGTGTGGCAAGAATATTTTCTTTAGTGTCCTCTAATGTTGACCAGTGATTATTAAAGCTTTCTCATGAACTTGGGTTTAAGATTTCTTCCGCATCAATTTGAAGTTCACCGCATCTGTTTTCCTTTGGTTTATGATAGTCACTCTTGGAGCCAGTTGATACGCCTGTGGTTTCAGTGGCTTTCTTTCATGGGGTAGTGGAGAGGGATCTGTTCCTTTACCTTGGAGATACTTTGCAAGTAGCCCTCCTTCCTTTAAACTTTTGTGATTTTGTGCTAGGATTAAAGGTGTGCACCACCACAGCCCAGCTTGTTTTATTTTCTTTACTTTAGAGCTTTGCCACTATACAAATGCAATACATTTAGAGGAATGTGGCTTCTGTGCATGGCAGTGCAGGCTATATTAGCACAGGGTTTTCTTGCCTTGCTTTCTTCATAGTATCTTGCAGTTGCTTAGTGTTTCTGTGGGAAGTAGATTTGATAAGAGAGTTGAAATAGTTGGCATCATTGTTTGCACTGTGTTTCTAACTGTTTAAGTATAACTTTGACTTACACCTAACTGGGAATTGTATCCAGCAAATACTTGTTATAAAATACTTGTTATAAAGTACTTTTACTTCTTAAAAAGTAATAGGACAACCATTTTGAGTTTCAGAAAGAAATAACTGTATTAGAGGGCTATATCGTTAATCTTACCGTAACCCCCCAAGTTTAGTCTCATGTCATCACCTGTATTTCTTTTGTAACATTACCTTCAAGTGCTTGCTACTTGGGCACTACAATGCTATCCAGTATACTGCAGAGCCAGCTTACTTGATAGTGAGAAGATTCTGATGGTGGGATGTGTAGAATTTCTTCACAGACTTCTTAATAATAGCTCATGTTGGGAAAAATAACTTTATTCTGGACTTTTTTTCTGCAATCCAAGTCTTAGCGAAAGGCTGTTCCTACCTTTCCAGGCTGTTGTCACAGCGCTCGTCTGCTATGTATGGAGTGCTTCATGCCTGTGTTCCCAGACAGTCCTCTCATCTTCACTCAGAGGGTAGACTCCAGCAGTGCAAGGTCACCTGCTTCTGCCCTATGACTGCATAGTAGATTTGATTGCAAGGTTTCACTAGCCCAGAGCTGTGGAGGAGAGTAGGCCCTATAACTCTCTTGCTGCCTTAGCGTTGTAAACTTGTTTCAGCTTTCAGTGCCTTGAAACTGAGTCTTATTTGGATACTTTATAGGAATTGTTGTGTTAATGATTATAAAAGAAAAAACAAACTATAAGCCAGTTTGGGAAGTGCATACCTATAAACCTAGCAGTGTCATAGTTATTTCCTCATTGCTGTGATAAAATGTCTATACAGAAGCACTTTGAAGGATATACAGTCTGTTATGGCAAGGAGCACACGGGGGGGGGGGAGGGGGGAGGGGGGAGACATCATGACAGCGTGAGTAGCAGCCTGACTGTCCTATTGCATCTGTGCTTGGAAAGCAAAGAATGAACAGAAGTGGGACTGGGCTATGAAGCCTCAAGCTTTCCCCCAGTGATCAGTTTCCTCCAGGAGTTCACTCTCCTAAAGGTTCAGCAACATTACCAAACAGCACTGTCAGCCAGCTGGTGAACAAGTATTCAAATGTCTGGGACATTCACATTCAAACCATGACAGAGGCTGAGACGGGTTTGGTGTCAGCTTGGGCTACATATTAAGATCTGCTCAGAAACAAACACACAGAATTGAGGAGAAGAAGGGGCTTCTTTGTTCCATAATTATTCTGACAAAGTACTTTAGGTATGCAAAAGACTTTGTTTAGGTATATACTGTCTTGTTTTCTTATGCACCAAAACTTACAGAAAAAGAAAAACATGTTTAGAGAGATTTGGGCGGTGGGGGCCCACACTTTTAATCCCTGCACTTGGTGAGCAGAGGCAGGTAGATCTCTGAGTTCCAGGCTAGCCTGGTCTACAGATCGAGTTTAGGAAAGCCAGAGCTATACAGAGAATCCCTGTCTTCTAAACTTTAAAAAAAAAAAAAGATTTAGAGAGACAGAGGAAAACAAAGAAGAACACTGGTAACAAAAGTACAAAAGGACCACTGGGAGATACTTATGCATGCTAACTGCATGCCAATCCTGAAGATACTTCTGCAATGTAAGAGGAGTCTGACACAGTTACATACATGAACTTTGGAAAATGAAACCATGCTTCCACCTGAGGCATATTCAGGTAGGAGCGCAGAAGTGTGTGAGTCATGAAAAGATAGCTGGCTGAGAGTATCCAGATACAACATGCTTAGTGACAGAGTATTTTGTAATGAGGATTTGAATGCTACATTGATATTTTTAAGAAAATAGTAAGCTTACTGAGTATCAGATAGCCTGAGCCCCCGGTATTTATTTTCTATAGTCGTTGGTAGTATTTTGATGGAAAAATTCTTTATATTTTGTTAATAAGCTACCAGTTTTAAGTTTGGGGCATAGCAAACTTTTCTATCTAGCCTCAGCTTCAGACTTTTACTGCTGCGTAGTACTCTAATGTGTAAATGTGCCACGTTTTCTTTATCCATTCTTTGGTGAGGCCATCTAGGTTGTTTCCAGGTTCTGGCCATTACAAATAATGCTGCTATAAACATAGTTGAACAGATGTCTTTGTAGTGTGATTGAGCATCTTTTGGGTATATGTTCAAGAGTGATGTTGCTGGATCTGGAGGTAAGTTGATTTTCAATTTTCTGAGAAACTGCCATTCTGATTTCCAGAGTGGTTGTACAAGTTTGCATTCCCACCAGCAATGGAGGAGTGTTCCCCTTACTCCACATTCTCTCCAGCATAAGCTATCATTGGTGTTTTTGATCTTAGCCGTTCTTACAGGTATAAGATGGTATCTCAGAGTTGTTTTGATTTACATTTCACTGGTAGCTAAGAATGTTGAACATTTCCTTAACTTTCTTTGGACCATTTGAGATTCTTCTATTGAGAATTCTCTGTTTAGTTCTGTACCCCATTTTTTAGTTGGATTATTTATAATTTTAATGTCTAATTTCTTGAGTTCTTTATATACTTTGGAGATCAGACCTTTGTCTGATGTGGGGTTGGTGAAGATCTTTTCCTATTCTATAGGCTGCCTTTTTGTCTTATTGACTGTGTCCTTTGCTTTACAGAAGCTTCTCAGTTTCAGGAGGTCCCATTTATTTATTGTTCTCAGTGTCTGTGCTACTGGGTTATATTTAGGAAGTAGTCTCCTGTGTCCATGCATTGAAGACTACTTCCCACTTTCACTTCTATAAGATTCAGTGTGGTCGGAATTTTATTGAGGTCTTTAATCCATTTGGACTTGAGTTTGGCGCATGGCGATAGATATAGATCTATTTTCATTCTTCTACCTGTTGACATCCAGTTATGCCAGCACCATTTGCTGAAGATACTTTCTTTTTTCCATTGTATAATTTTAGCTTCTTTGTCAAAAATCAGATGTTCATAGGTGTGTGGGTTAATATCCGGGTCTTCGATTTGATTCCATTGGTCAACCTCTTTGTTTTTATGCCAATACCAAGCTGTTTTCATAATGTAGCTCTGTAATAGAGCTTAATGTCAGGGATGGTGATACCTCTGGAAGTTCCTTTATTGTATAGGATTGTTTTGGTTATCCTGGTTTTTTTTTGTTTTTCCATATGAAGTTGATTATTGTGTCTGAAAAGAATTGTGTTGGGATTTTGATGGGTATTACATTGAATCTATAGATTGCTTTTGGTAGGATTGCCATTTTTACTATGTTGATCTTACCAATCCAAGAACATGGGAGATCCTTCCATTTTCTGGTATCTTCTTCAACTTCTTTCTTCAAAGACTTAAAGTTCTTGTCAAATAGGTCTTTCACTTCTTTGGTTAGTGTTACCCCAAGATATTTTACGTTATTTGTGGCTATCGTGAAAGGTGATGTTTCTCTGATTTTCCTCTCCGCTTCTTTATCCTTTGTGTATAGGAGGGCTACTGATTTTTTTGAGTTGATCTTGTATCCTGCCACATCACTGAAGGTGTTTATCAGTTTTAGGAGTTCTCTGGTAGAGTTTTAGGGACACTTATGTGCAATATCATATCATCTACAAATAACAAAAGTTTTACTTCTTCCTTTCTAATTTGAATCCCCTCGATCTCTTTTTGTTGTCTTATTGCTATTGCTAGAACTTCAAGCACTATGGTGAAGAGATATGGAGAGAGTGGTTTTTGTATGACCTAATGATTCTCTGAATTTCCTCAATGTCTGTTATGTCCCCCTTTTCATTTCTGATTTTGTTAATTTGAATGTTTTTCTCTGCCTTTTGATTAGTTAGGATAAGGGTTTGTCTATCTTGGTGATTTTCTTAAATAACCAGCTTTTAGTTTCATTGACTCTTTGTATCATTTTCTTTCTTTCTATTTTGTTGATTTAAGCCCTCAATTTGATTATTTCCTGTCTTCTACTCCTTGTGGGTGAGTCTGCTTCTTTTTGTTCTAGAGCTCTCAGGTGTGCTTTTAAGTCACTAATATGAATTTTCTCTGTTTTCTTTATTTGGGCACTTAGTGCTATGAACTTTTTTCTTAGCACTGCTTTCATAGTGTCCCATAGGTTTGGGTATGTTGTGCCTTCATTTTCGTTCAATTCAAGGAAGTCTTTAATTTTCTTTATTTCTTCCTTGACCCAGGGGTGGTTCAGTAGTTCACTGTTTTATTTCCATGAGTTTGTAGGCTTTCTGAGTGTAGTATTGTTGTTAAATTCTAACTTTAATCCATGATGATCCGATAAGATACAGGGGCTTACTCTAAGCTTACTTGCTTTTTTTCTGTCTGTTGAGGTTTGCTTTGTTACCGAGAATGTAATCAGTTTTAGAGAAGGTTCCATGAAGTACTGAGAAGAAGGTATATTCTTTTGTGTTTGGATAGAATGTTCTATAAATGTCTGTTAAGTCCATTTGATTGATGACATCTATTAGTTCTCTTATTTCTCTGTTAAGTTTCTGTCTGGTTGACATGTCCATTGGTGAGAGTGGAGTTTTGAAGTCTCCTACTATTAGTGTGTGGTATTTGACGTGCAATTTAAGTTCTAGTAATGTTTCTTTTACATACGTAGGTGCTCTTGTATTGGGGCATGGATGTTCAGGATTGAGACTTCATCTTAATGAATTGTTCTTGTTATGAGTATAAAGTGCCCTTCTCTATCTCTTCTGACTTAATTTAGTTTGAAATCTATTTTGTTAGATATTAGTATAGCTATACTTGCTTGTTTCTTAGGTCCATTTGATTGGAAAACCTTTTCCCATCCCTTTATTCTGAGGTAGTGTCTGTCTTTGAGGTTAAGGTGTGTTTCTTGTATACAGCAGAAGGCTAAATCCTGTTTTTGTATCCGTTCTCTTAACCTGTGCCTTTTTATAGGTGAATTGAGTCCATTGATATTAAGTGATATTAATGATCAGTGGTTGTTAATTCCTGTTATTTTTCAGTAGTAGTGTTTGTGTATTTTCCTTCTTTGAGTTATGCTGGTGGGGGATTATCAGATGCCTGTGTTTTTGTGGGTACAGTTAGTTTCCTTTGGTTAGGGTTTTCCTTCTAGTACTTTTGTGGTTACATATTGTTTAAATCTGTTTTTGTCATGGAATATCTTGTGAGGAAATAGGTCTTACAGTATATAGGTGTAGGGGAAGTTGGGAACAGGGAAAGTAAGAGAACTGTACCACAGTCAGACTCAGGAGCCCTTCTTCCTCATTTCCCTGTAGAAGCAGCCAGCCCCAGGCTTCTTCTGATACTGAATGTATTCATGTCACTGTTGTTGCCCTCCCTCCTCATAGGTGATTGTATGCGGGTAGCAGCTTATGTCATTGATTTAAAATGAAGATGAACTCAAAGATGTAAAATAATTTTTTTCCAGGTGGAACATTGAGAATATATGCAGATAGTTTAAAACCAAATATTCCATACAAGACAATCCTGCTGTCTACTACAGATTCCGCAGACTTTGCTGTAGCGGAATCTCTGGAGAAGTATGGTCTGGAAAAAGAGAATCCCAAGGACTACTGCATTGCCCGGGTATGAACTGTGAACTAATACTGCTCCACAGGATATTCCTGCTAACACTTTGCATTTAAAGGAAAGGGTTTTTTTTTGTTTTGTTTTGTTTTCTAATTTGTGGTGGGTTTGTGTGTGTGTGTGTATTCATTCATATGCACAATCTCTCCCCGCACCCCGCTTACATGCACATATGGGAATAATAAACAAATGTAACCAAAAGTAATGGATGTTCTTTACAAAAAAAGATAAATTGAATAAAGCATAACCCAAAGATATACCAAAAGATAACTTCATCATTAACATTTTGATAGACATTCTTCCAATTTTTATTTTGTACATATATCAAATGAGTCAGAGTTATAGAGGAGTACAACCAATTTATGGGTGTGTGATTATATAATATAGAAGTAAAATAGTCTCACAGTGCTGCATGTTGGAGATTCATAAAACCTGGTAGCATTTCAGTCCAATATGTGGAGATGTGTATACACACAGACGGTCCAGTTATGCAGTCCTCGTTTGAGGATGAAGATCTGATAGCTTTCTGGAGAGCCGCTCCTCTGACCCTCTGCTGAAAGACTTGAAGAAGCTCAGATGTGATGACCACAGGCAGTGATTGCACTGTGGACATGGCTGGCATGTGCTGTCTGCCTTCTTCGTCCTCCCTTTTCTTTCACCTGGGGACCCAGCCTGTTGGCATCAAATTCAGGGCTGGTCTCCCCACTTGAGCTGGTAGGTCAGCCAACACTGAAAGTGCACCCACAACATGTCAGCAGTGTCCTTTACTGCACTCTCAGTCCAGTGTGGTTCACCTTCAAGATCAGCCATCAGAGGTAACCATTGTATTTATATTAAAATCTGATTTGATAACCACCTGCATCTTCTCAGAGGTACTCTACCTTTCTGTGACGACTCTAGTTATCAACAAATATAGTAATTGTTTATGTCCTAGAATTGATTCTGTAACATTAAGTAAAATGCAGAAGATTTTCTATTTATCCATTAACTAATTAGAAATTCTTAGCTTCTGACTCAGTTGTAATTGTACACTTTATTGAATGCAGTATTGTCCAATTATAACTGACAGTAATTTTATTTTGCTTTGGAAAGGACAATTTATTTTGGCTCATGGTTTGAGGATACAGTCCATTGTGGTAGAAATGTGTGGCAGCTGGAACGTGAGGCAGCTGGTCACATTTTATCCTCAGTCAGGAAGCAGAAAGAAATAAATCCTAATAGATTTTAAAACAAAGATTACTCTGTTTTATTACAGCAAGTAACTTAAAAAGAAAATACGTGTGTAAGTGGAGACTGCTCTTTTGTTTCTGGCCTCCCAGACATGAATAGTCACACAGAAACTATATTAATTACAATACTGCTTGGCCAACAGCTTAAGCATATTCCTAGGTAGCTCTTCTATATTAAATTAATCCATTTCAATTAATCTGTGTATCGCCACGAGGCTGTGGCTTACTGGAATCTCTTGCTTCTTGGGCCTCTTTGACTCTTCCTAATCTCTCTATATATCTCTGTTCAGATTTCCTGCATGATATATTTTTTTTCTTGCCCTGCCATAGGCTGAAGTAGCTTCTTTATTAACCAATGGTAATAAAACATATTCACAACATACAGAGGGGAATCCCACGTCAGTGTGTATGCATGTGCGTGCGTGTATGTGTGTGTGTGTGAGAGAGGGAGGGAGGGAGGAAAGGAGGAAGAGGAGGCTAGATGGATGTTTGGTGTTTTTGTCTGTCACTTTCCATTTTGAGCAGGCTCTCTCTTAACTGAACCTGAAGCTCTGTTTTGGCTAGGCTGGCATGTGGGCTTTAGGATCCTCCTGTTTTCTCTGCTCCCAGTGCTGAGGTTCTAGACAAATGTTATCATGACTTTTCAGGTTTTTTTGTTTTTAATATTTTTATTCTTTAAGCACTTCTTGAATGCATATAATGTAGTTTGATCATACTCAACTCCCCATCCCCACCCACTCTTCTAACTCCTCCCAGATTGTCACCCACCCTTATCAACTTTATGTTCCAACTTTTTCCTCCCTTCCCTTCCCTTCCCTTCCCTTCCCTTCCCTTCCCTTCCCTTCCCTTCCCTTCCCTTCCCTTCCCTTCCCTTCCCTTCCCTTCCCTTTTAAATAACCCACTGTGTTCAATTTGTGCTTCAAATATATTTATTCATGGGTGTGGAGCCATCAACTAAGCATGATCAGTCCTCCAGAGACCATTTCCTTAAAGAAAACTGACTCTCCCTCCTCCAGAAGTCATCAACTATCTGTAGCTCTTTAGCTAGGGGTGGGAACTTGAAGCCATTCTCCACTCTGTGATGGGATGCTGACTGGCCCGATCTTAGGCTAGTCTTGTACAGGCAGTAATAGCTCCTGGTGAGTTCATGAGTGTGGTGGTCCTGTAGTGTTCAGAAGACACTCTTTCTGGTGCCTTTACCCATTGAGCCATCTTGTTGTCCCATTTCTTTTAATTTTCATTTTAGCTATTGTATTTAGGTCAGTGTGTTCATTTTAAGTTATGTTTATTTTGATTTTTTTTTTCTTTTATGAGGATACCCAGTTCATCCAGCAGAATTGCAGAAAGGCTTTGTTTTCTCTCCCTCTGAATGCTTTGTTTAGTCACTTGTTTCATCTTTGTGTCGTTCAGTTCAGGTACTCTGTTCTTTGTTGATCTGTATATCTCTTTGGCCTGTGCTTTAAATGTCTAGCACCTGAAACTTGACATTGCTCAATTATTTGACAAAGGGGAGTTTTTGTATAAATCTTTGATACTAATATTTTATGGAACTACATGGTTTGGTGTATGATAATGAACTTTGTAACATTTCCATCTTCTTAAACTAAGTGGCTTGTTTTTACTGTTAAAATCAGAAAATAAAGCAACCATTTTATCAGGGACCTAGAGTTGTACAAACAGACTGTGAGCTTTGTTGAAAGTCCTTTTTGAGCTTGATTTCAAGAGGAAGAGCTCCTTTACTTTTGGCCTTTTGCTCTAGTATGACCAGCTTTTTTCAGCAATCTTAGGCAGTCTAGTTTGTGATTTGCGTGAATTAGAAATGCATTATATTCTGAGCTTGCCATATAAACTATGGCTGTTTCATAGCCTTCATTCATTTTATCTATTCAGATAATTATTTCTTAAGTATTTAAGGTCTTTTCTGTTTGTTAGCTATTCTGCTAGAATACAGAGTTAAGAGTTGCCCCCCCCCCCAAAAGAGCTTACAGTGATGGAGGGAGACCAAAAGGCCAAACAGGAGAACAGAAACAGGGTCTTCAGACCAGAGAGTGGTCTACAATGTAGAAAGCATGTGGCCTGGCCGGTGAGCACTTAGTACATCTGTGCACCTTAAAAAAAAAAAATTGTGGCCTAAAAAATTAAGTGATACAGATAGAGACAAAGAGAAAATTGAAGGTCAAATCTTGAAGTGGCAGGATATTGAATTTAATTAAAAATGCTAATGAGAAAAGATGACGGTAGCTTAGGGATGCTATTATTCCTTTTCCTTTAAAGCTAATTCGAAGCCTTGTAAAAAGGAGTAATAGATCTCCATAGAATTGTTTGATCACTTTTATGTATAAGCACAGTGATAATTTTGCACACTAAGGTTTGTTGCATTAAGAGTGGAAAGCAATGGCTTGGCTTCTTGCATTGCTTTCCACTGGACCTGTGTGAAGAGAGAGAAAGCTCGGCAGTGTCTGTAGAGGCGTCAGTCTCATTCCTGTCCCACGCAGTCTTTCCTGAGAGCACAGTGAACACCATACCATCAAACAGTTGCCTGAAAACAGTTGTTCATGGTTATGTAATATACCTAACAGTCTGCTTATAATTAAATCATAGTTATTTATAATAGAAACTATTTTAAAGATTTCAGATTACATGAATTTGCTTTATAAATATTTGCTTGGATGTGAAAGATGGAGTAGGACTGGACTGCAGAGGACTGCAGAAGAGGAGTTTTCTTTCCTTAAATTGTTTGAAGATCAGCTGTTCTGTGTGGTTTTTCCATGTGAAATTTGTAATAAACAAATGCAAATAATCCAGTTCTTGTTAAGAACTAGGTGAATAAAAATTGCCAAATTCACTGTCCAAGTAAACTTTTTGTTTGAAACAGTTTCCTATACTTTGTTAATGTTTTATTTTGTCACCAGTGGAAATTATTTATAGTACTTGATAGTTTTATTTATCATATATCTGTCTGTCTTTCTGTCTGTCTGTCTGCCTACCTATTTATCTATGCTCGTTTGGAGCAGTACTTTCAAGGTAGGTACAGGACTGCACCAGTACTAAGGAAGCAGGAAGGTTGGAAGTGTGAGGCCAGCCTGGGCCATTAGAGTAAGAGCAAAAATAGTGGCAATGCTGCTGTTGAATACTTGCTGATCTTCTTTTTTTATTCATCGTTAATTATTTTTTCATTAGGTTATGCTTCCACCTGGAGCCCAGCATTCAGATGAAAGAGGTGCTAAGGAAGTTATTCTTGATGATGACGAGTGTCCTTTACAAATCTTCAGGGAATGGCCAAGTGACAAAGGTAGACAGTAAACTTTATCACTAGGGAATTTCCTTAGTATCCACCTGTCAGATTTCTGCTAACTCTTGCTCATCATCAGATGACAAGGAAAGTGTGTGCATGTAAGAGAAAGGGAGGGGGGTTAGTAGGGGTCTATCCCTGCATTGGCCAGTGTTTTCATAGACTTGCAGAACGTCTCCGTGGTGGTACCTTTGCCTGTAAAGCCACACTCAGCTTATTTGAGTTTCATGTGAAGATGATATTGCAGGTGAAATACCAGACTCTTAGCAGTGACAGACCATTGTTATTGATGAGCTGTGAAACAATGTCCGTACTGATCCACATGAGATATGTGGTATTTGAGCAAGTTTGTTAGAACAGGGAAGGTACCCTACAAGCCTGAAGTTTTTCCAGCAATACAGCCATTTCATATATAGGTTGAATAATCCTTACTGGAAGTACTCAGAATCCAGAAGTGTTTCAGATTTCAGAACATTTCAGACTTGAGTGTTTTTCCATTCATAATGAGATAGCTTTGCAGATGGATGCAAGTCTAAGCATCACCTTCATTTATATTTGCCTTTTACACATAGCCTGCGTATAATTTAGTCCATAGGTTTTAATGTATTGATTGGTGTTTCTCCTGCTGCCTGTATTGAGGTTGGTTTTCATTTGTAGAACTTTGGATTTCAGGTGTTTGGTTTAGGGATGCCCAACTTGAAATGGTGTATATTTGTCACTAGTCAGATGTTTTTCTCTATTCAAAGCAGCAAAGTGTTTAACGCTGTGTTTTTATGAAGTACAGTTTCTAACATTAAGATTGATACAGGTGATTTCTAGGTGAGTGCCTTTATATTAATGAAGATATAAAAATCCTTCCTTATGTAATAATCATATGACATGTAGATTGATTTAAAAGTATAAAATTTAAAAGTATAAAAAACCCTAAGAATAAGTGCATTTCCAGTTTTATTAAAATACTTATTCTAGACGGGCATAAAAGTTAAGCCTTATTTTAAAGTTGTTTTGAATTTTGAGTTAATTTATTTGAACAATATACAGGTCAACTGAGATGTTTGTGTGTTAGAAGTCTTGCTTCTGTGTTCCTGGCTGCCCAGACTCCTGAAATAACCACACAGAAACTATATTATTTGTAATAACTGTTTGGCCAATAGCTTAAATGTATTTCTGGCTAACTCTTATATCCTAAACTAACCAATCTCCATTAATCTGCTTATTGTCACGTGGCCGTGGCTTATCATGTAAATTTCCAGTGTCTGTCTGGGGCGGGGGGGGGGGGGCTTCCATGTTTTCTCCCTGACTCCGCCTATTTTCTCCCAGTATTCAGTCTAGTTTTCCCTCCCTATCTCTATTCTGCCCTGCACAGGCCTAAGATAGTTTATTTTCCAGTGGGATTCGCATCATACAGAGGGGAATCCCACATCACCTCCCCTTTTCTGTTTAAATTAAAAGGAAGATTTTGACTTTCACATAATAAAATTGCATATAACAAAATAGGTATCAAGCAAGAATTACAATTAAAATATTTATATCTACTTTATCTTTTATTATAACTAAGGAAAACTATAAATATAGATTCTTCAACTCCATCAAAGACTCCAGAAAGATATAATGTTACCTAAGTAAACAGGAAGTACATTGTAAGCAACTTCCAAAACTCTAGAATTGACAACAACATCTTACTGCCTGGACAGTCATCCAAAGTTCTGTAATGTTGTGGGCACCCATTTTCAGCCTACTGGCCCATAGTATCTAGCAGACTTTCATGAAGCAGGAAATTTCAAAGACAGGTCCGCCTATATTGGCAGTTTGTTAGTCACTTTCTTCTGTGTCCTGCAGAATGTCTGGCAGACTCTTTCATGAAGCAGGAACTCTAAAGGGTTGTCTCACCTTTAGGCAAGTATAGCAGTCATTTCTCTGTGGCCCCTGCATGTCCAGTTCATACAGCAGTCCAGGCTCTCCTGCCCAAATGGCCAACAAACTTCATAAGGAGCCTCTTCAGTGCCCATCTTCTTCTTGAAGTAGATTGGTGCTGCCAGAAGCACATGAAAAGTCCTAAGATTGTAAAACATTTTAAATGCCATATTCCGTTGGTCTTTGAAAGTTTTGAAGATTATCTATCTAACTTAAAATATATCTCTTTATATCTAGAAAACCTAACTAACATGACTACAAGCTTGACTATTATAGAGAACTCTCTATTAAACTGTATTTCTTAATTATGCATTACATTTTTAAGTAAGCTGGACAAACAAAATACCTTAATCAAGATCAGAAATACATATACATAGTATAATAAAATTGACCTTAAATTTATATCAATAATCCAAGATCCATACCAATGCAGAGTATTCATATCTATATCATATCCCCCTTTAAATATAACAAACATTTATAACCAATCATTTAGGGAATTTGGACATAGTTCTCTCCAAACTGCTTTCTGCTTTTCGTTGGGGAAAGTATTTTTTGGGGATGTTGTTCACGACAAACTTTCATGGGGTCTTCTGGAAGGATTCTACAGGTTCTCATCCTCTATGGAAACAAAAGAAGAACCTCTTTTCCAAAGCAACATATCCTAAGACCCAATTTTGAAGTCAAGATACCTTTAGAGTATATATGCTGGTTTAGTTTAACAGTCTGTACAATGAAATGTCTCTCTGTACTTAGCTCCTTCACAGTCAAAATTTCAAGGAAAACACAATAATATACATAATCCAGACTCTCTGTGTATTTTCCATCTTTATGTGCCTTATTTTTCTTCATTTTAAAATCTATGGCTGTCTGTACTCTGTCTTTTTAAAGACTTTATTTTTTAAAATAATTTACATTTTTTTTCCAACTCTCTATACTCGTTTTCTTCTCTCGCCCAAGCCTACGTACATTTATCCAACACTGTGACACATTTAGAAGTCTTTTCCCTCTGAATTTGTCTCTCCTGTGTATCTGTAATTCATTTCAGACCAGGACGCCTTCTTAAAGTGCTAAAGCAGTGTTACTGCTAGGGCAAATACAGCCTTGCCTGCTGGCTCTGCCCCGTCTAACATGGCACAAGTCCATCATGGCCTTTGAGACAGACGGGTGGGAGCCATCCTCACCACCTCAACTCTGATAACCAGTTGTCTCATGCTGCCACCAAGTAACTTGCAACATGCTGCCCACAAACCCCATTCAAGTGCTTGGCCTCCTAAAAGAGACAGAATTCTAGCTGGCAGCTCGGCCCAGAAAGCTGCCCTTTCAAAACTGCACGTTTTTTTGTTTTTTTTTTTCTCCTACCGCTTACTCAGGAAAACCTCTCTGAAAGGAGTGCTTAACTCTGTTTGTTTGTTTGTTTGTTTGTTTTGTTTGTGCCTAGAATTCCTTCCCAAGGTCTCTCAGGTTTTAAGTGGATTTAGTTGGAGATCAGTTTGTTGTAGGAGTCCACTTGTGTGTTCCTGGCTGCCCAGACTCCCGAAATAACCTCAAAGAAACTATATTACTTGCAATGCTGTGTGGCCAATAGCTTAAGCATATTTCTGGCTAACCTCTTACATCCTAAAGTAACCCATCTCCATTAATCTGTGTATCGTCACGTGGCTGCGACTCACTGGCAAAGTTGCGAATGTCTGTCTCTGGCTGTGGCTCCATGGCTTCTCCCTGACTCCACCTTCTTTCTTCTAGCATTCAGTTTAGTTTTCCCTGCCTAGCTCTGTTCTGCCCTGTGTAGGCCCAAGACAGTTTATTAACCAATGGTATTCACAGCATATAGAGGGGAATCCCACATCATTTGTGTATTTGTATATGAATGTTGATAGGTCTATCTACAAGTGCAGGTTTGTTTATTTTTAAACTAGCAAACTGTTTACTAGCATATGCTATCCTTTGGTAGCTACCTGTCAGTTAAAAATAATTTATTCATGTTGCTTGTTAAGAGTTTTTCAGAGCACACTGAATTAAGATATCAATTGGGTGACCTTTGGTCCTCTACTCCTTGGCAGATGTGATTAAAATCCATGTTCTTGGTTTGGGCAAATGTTTGTCAGTTATCATCATCACCACGTTTGCTCCATTGATGTTGCTGTTGTTGCTGTTCTAGGGGTTTTAGTCTTTCAACTGAAGAGGAGACCACCAGACTATATTCCCAAAAAAATGAAGAAACACGTTGAAGGGAAGCCGTTGAAGGGGAAGGACAGAGTTGACGGGTCTGGCTATGGTTCTGCTCTTCCTCCTGAGAAATTGCCCTACTTAGTAGAGTTAAGCCCTGGTGAGAAAGTTGGCCCTATCGGGAAATGTATACTTTTAGCATTTATGTTTCTACTTTTTAATGTATTATTTTTAAGTGTCCATTTACTTAAAAAGTGTAACATTCATAAGATGGCATCATTAAGGCCACAGAATACACTAATTCATGCATAAAAATAAAGTCCACATGAACAAAAATGCATCTAACAAGCTTTAATGAGTAGCATTTAAAGTTTTAAGTTGCCAGTTAAAGAAAAATTTTCCAAAGGAATTTTGCTTAATGTACTAGCAACAAATTGAAATTTACTCACCTGGAGACAGTCTGCATATATGTGTGTATGAGAGAAAGAGATTGTACTAGTATTTATGGTTTATATACAGTGTTCAAAAGGAATATCCTTAGATTTAATAATACTATACCTTTGAAACCTAGCTTAGTAACTAGTAGGATGTTTTAAAATAACATCATAAATTTATATTCATATTAGTCTCATAATTATATCACTTATAAAATTTTTACAGCTAAAGATGTTGCCATAACTTAGTCATCAGGTAGACAAATACACTGACATTCTTTAAGTGTTTCGTATATACACAGATTCCCCAAGAAGTATGTATTTGCATATAAGTGCTCTACATGACATTTATCAGTCAGTTAAAATCGCATCATTTCTAATTTAGTTACTAAGATGCTATTACGTAACCTATATTATTGAATGTTAAGAAGATATTTCATTCACTGACTCCTAGTTAGCAACTAAAGTAAAAGTCAGTTAATAATTACAGGAAAATAGCATAAAAAGAATATATTACATAAATAATACATAGTTCCTTGGGCAGGTTTTTTTCCTCCCTTCTTTGGTTTTTAATTTTCATTTTTATTTCTAAGGTTGCTTAATTATAATTTACTAGAGATTAGATATATTCTTTGTGGTTCAGCAGCTGATTTACATTGGTGTAGAATAGAATAGTAATATTTGAATGGACCTATAATTTATGGTCTTGGCAGTGTGGTTCTAGGGGAGTAGTTTTATACTTAATTATGCTTAAAATCCTGTTTTGGTTGCTAAGTACTTTGTGGGGAATTTAGCACTGTGCTTTGTCCTCATTCTCTATCTAGGAAATTAATTTTGAAGTTTTATTCTCTACTGTAAATTGGAGATATCCTTGTGATACTATTGTCTGTAATGTAAGGAGAACATTGGTGCTTGTTTATCTGAAGGAAATAAGACGAACAGTGAAAACACCATTTGTTTTTGACTGAAAAATTTTAGGCTATTTTTCAAGTATGTGGTCTCTTCATTAAAATGTTGCATCAGAGCCGGGCGATGGTGGTGCACACCTTTAAGCCCAGCACTCAGGAGGCAGAGGCAGGTGAATCTCTCTATGAGTTCGAGATCAGCCTAGTCTACAGAGCGTTCCAGGACAGACAGGACTGTTACTCAAAGAAACCCTGTCTTAGAGGGTGGGGAGGGTGCATGACTGGTGCATTGGTTGTAGAACTTATGTTTGATAGTTGAAGAGTCTTGGTTATTAAGCAGTTGACACTAATTTTTAAATGTGTGATAGAAGATAGATTTTGGTGGATAGCAGAGAGGCTGTATGAAGAATGGTGAAAACACAGATTAAGTCCCAAGTCATGTTCTAATGAGTGCTTTCATTTTGACTGCTTAGTTTTTACTTGTCTCTCAAATAATCACATGCATAGAATATTTTGTCTTTAAAAGATAATAGAGAAATTCTGTACTACTTTTTATCAGATACTAACAACCACATTATTGCATGTTCACTAATATGTTTCTTAGCACTCTGTTACCTTTGGGCGACATTGTCCTTATATAGACAGGGGTGAATATGAGTAAGGCTTTCTCTTATGCTAGCTGATGAGCACGGTTCAATGTTAGTGTCAGTGGCTCTCCAGGCCCACATTCCTTCCAAGTTTTCTGGGCTGCTGGTAAGAACTGCCTTTATTGATACTGCATTGGTATCTAAGAGAACTAATACTTTTGTCCTAAAGGTAATGGTTTTGATGACAGGCCTGAGTGCAAGAATAAGGTCTTTGTTGCATCAGAACTATGTCATGATGCCGTTTTAGATGAGTACTCTGAGGGAGTCGTTTCCATTATGAGAAATATTCATACACATTGATATGTTAGGAATGGATAAGGGCTATATTTCCACCAGGCACATTGTCAATCAGAGGTGTGCCTTCAGTGTGGAATACCTGCAAGATATTGGCAGGAGTTTCTGAGGTGCAGGTTTATTTACAGTTTTATAGAAGAGTGGAAGCCAGGGTGCTGATTTTCTTGTGTGTTTTAAACAGAAGGAGCCAGCCAAGTGGGATGGTAACTTCCTGTCAGGTTAACTCACTGTTAACACAGCTGTTCTGCTGCCTGGTGACTCACCTATTGTCCTGCTATTTTCCTTAACAGTCTGACTGGGGTCTGCTGTAGTCTTTTCCACACAACTCTGAATGCTAGTGGGTAAAATTTGCCATTTCTTCCTTTGAAACATCTCACTGAAGCTCACCCTTTGCATCTCTTCTCCTCCTTCCCTTTCCCACCTGTTCTGCATGGTCTCTCTCCTGCTGATGCTGCCTTCACCTGGGTCCTGGCATGTCTCTTAATCCCAGGGAGAAGGAATCACTTTGCGTACTACAGCTATCACACCTATGAAGGTAATGCTATACTTAATACTACTCTGTAATGGGGCACTAACAGAACTTCTGAGGTGAGCAGTGTTGACTGAACACACACTGCATGTGAAAGAAGTGTACATGTCTCCTTCTGTTTGTATCTGCTCAAGCCCTACATATGTTAAAGAAGTGTACATGTCTCCTTCTGTTCGTATCTGCTCAGTGCCCTACGTCCAACACCCAGATGATTTATTGGAAGCTTTTTTGCTGCTTTCATTTCCCAGGTTCACTATGGGAAGTGATTGTAGGCAGAAGATTGACTCCAGAGCTGTAGACTGCATGCAAAGGGCCTTTAGTGCTCTTGAGCTGTGCTATGATTTGTGTTCATTTCATACTTAGAGAAAAGGCTAAGCATCCCTCACTCCAAATGTGAAGTGTCTTAAGTGCTGATGTGAAGACAGAAGGGAAAGCCCGTGTAATAGATGACCTCATGTAATGGGTATAGTCCACACCCAGGTACTCTAAGTATGTTGTGTATATTTTTCTATTGACTGTGTGTTAGATGGTCATGGAATTTGTGTTTAAAAGTAGTTTCTATCCCAAGATGTGTGGCATATTAAATAGACATGAATATCACAAAACCTGGGAAAAAGTTGCAATCTAAAACTTGGCTAGGGCTCTGGTAGCTTATTGTGTCTGCCATAGGTCTTCTTAGAGCTGGCCTGTAGTACTTCAGATATCCTCAGTTTCCCACTGGAGAAGCATTCAGGTGCTGTGAACTGTTGACTGTAGAATGCTCATTGGAGATGGAAAGCGATTGGAATGGAGGTTGAGAGAATGCCCATAGTACTCCTGCTTGTGATCATCCAGCTTCTAGACCAGAACTGGAGGTGGGCTGTCACTGGCAGAGAGCTCAGACCACCAAGCTCTTCCAGCTGTCCTCACTTGCCACTCTTTCTCAGTTTAGACTAGATGCTCTGTCATCCACTTGTCCTGCAGCTATTAGGTTCACTGCACTGTACACAAGTTTGTCTGTGGTTTTTCTATAACAGTGAAGTACAGTAAGAAAGGAGAGACTGGGAAAGCAGCCCTGAGTCTATTGTTGTTAAAAGGCAATTTTATCTATCTATCTATCTATCTATCTATCTATCTATCTATCTATCTATCTTGCTAGCTGCAGGAGAATGTTAATGTGAACACTGCAGACATGTCTTTGGTGTTCTTGTGGCTTCGACGCATATGGTTACTTACTTTGTTCCTTTGTAATTCATTTGTGTTGTTTGTGTATCTATATTGTATTATTTTCTTTGAGTTTTATATGACTGTTCGCTCTAGAACATCAGTTATTAAAGAAGGCCAGTGTGACCTAGCTATGAAGGAGCTCGGAATTGATGGGGGCCTGTTCAATGGTTTTCTTTCTGATACAAGATTCCTGTACTCAGAAGGTCAGGAAAGACATGAATTGTGAGCTGCCCATGATAATATGGGGCAGTAAACATCCCAGGGGAGAGGAATCCACGTCCAGGAAAAGCCCATAAAGCTTTGGTTTTGTTATTGAGACATGCTGCTGGCTTTAAACTTCTTTTCCCTTCAGTATCTGAAGTGTTGACATTAATCAAGCTAATCAGTGTTGAGCTTCTGTGATTTGATGTCTCATTTAAATCCAGAGTTTCTGAGAATTATTATAGATGAAAATATTCCAGAGCGAAGGGAAACAACTTAGGCCATTTTGCAAAGTCCATATTAGGTATATATGTCTGTGACATGCTCCAATCTCATCTTACCTTCACCCAGATGTTACAGATTTGTTAGTATTTCAGAAATAGAAAATTAGATCAGTAGAATATAACTTTGTGTACTCTAAAACTAAACTTGGTTCTAGAGACCTTAGCTATTTATGGTGTCTTTTGTTTTTAAGAGTTCAGACTGCATCACAGCTGAGAGACTTTAAGATTTAATAGTCTGTGTACATACCAGAGTCCTCCAAGCTTCTGAACCTCTCACGGCTAACATCTGATTCCATGGCTTAAGATTTGAGTAAATGGCAGAAAATTACTTGGGCAGTCATGAAACAAACTGTGCAGGCCTGCACTTGCTTTCTTAAGGAAACCTTGCTCGGTGTGTTTGCAGTCTCTACTGAATGTGGTGGCTGTGGTAGAAGTCTTGGATTGTATATTAGTTCTTATGTTCGGTGAGGTACACTTGTCATGTGTTACAGTGGGTGAGAGGGCGTGGACCGGACTGGCAGTGCTGCTTTCCTCTCCTCCACCCCTTACCTGGCACAGGAAGTGAGGCTTATGGCAGTTGGGCTCCACATTTTCTTTAAAGGACACAGATTTGGATGGGTACAAATGCAGGGGTAATCTGGAGGACTTGGGGTGTGGTGTGAATATGATCAAAACATACATGAAATTATTCAAGAAAAAAATTAAAAAAAAAATAAAAAGCAGACAAAGTCTTCTTTTCTGTGTTTGACCCCAGTTCTCCCTAAGGGAGTAAGCATTTCAGTAGCATTTTTTACTGTGGTGCACACTGGACACTGGAGGTTCAGACTGTGGCTTAGGAGGTCTGGGAGAGCTGGGAGGGCCGCACAGTTAGAGCATTGCTGTGCCCACCACTGTATTGTCCTGTGAACTTAAGGGTGCATGGTACTTATGCTCTACAAAGGTTCTAGGTTGAAGTAATGGCTTATGTCGTCTTATTCTGTCTTCTCAATACAGTTCCATCCTTGGAATCACCAAGGATGATTGGTGGAAAAGTATAATCAGAAAGTCTTGGAATTAATGACCACTCAACATTTTATATGAACAGAAGCTGACTGGTATCTGTCTAGTGTGTTAGGTATATAATGTTAGTTGGAGACTCTTTGGAAAGAAGTCCTGAGAAGTAAAACTATACTATCCTTAGTAAAATAGCTTGTTTGTTTCAAATGTAAGATTATTAGACTTTAAAAATAGAGCTCTGTACCTCCTCTTCTCACAGATGGCTCTGATTCCAGAGACAAGCCAAAATTATACCGCCTTCAATTAAGTGTGACTGAAGTTGGGACAGAGAAGTTTGATGACAATTCTATCCAGGTACTTGATCATATTTACTGCCTAAGCCTTTTACTGTTGTTCCTCCTATCAGTAATTAATAAGCACATGTGAAGAAACCAGCCACATATGAAGAAAATAATAGACCTTGTGTTTACCTATAAGTCATTCAGTCTTCTGTGAGTCACTTTTCATGTGTTTGCATTCAGAATGCACCTACAGAAACGTGTGCTGTTTGTTAACATTCCAGTCTGACTGTCCACTTCTGTTTAGAAAGCAGAGGTGCTGATAACAGTTGATAGGTCTATTTTAGGATGACTGTGCCTAGCTCTCAGTCAACATGACCTGAGCATCTTAAGAACTTAAAAAAGGGATGTCAGAATTTGACATTGGGCTTGGCCAAATCTCCTTTGTTCTTTACTTCTTGTATAGGAGTAAAATGGTTGTGTTTTTAGTTCTGATTCATATGATTCATTAGTTCTTAACACAGTAGTAAAATGTAAGTAAGATTTTTTTAAAGTGATAATTTTCTATATAAATTCATCTATTACCTAGTTAATGTTTAAGATGAGATGCTTTGTGTGTGTAGAACAAAGTCCTGGGGTTGGAACTCGACGCCTCATGCAGATTGCCAAGGACCATGCTACTGAACTAATTCCTGCACTCCAGTCATATGATTAATAAAGCAGAGTTACAGCATGCTTGAAAACAAGTTCTTAAATGTTAAAAATGCCCAGGTATTTTAGAAAATCCGCTTAAGAAAACAAAAGTCCAGTACTTGTTAGACTGTGTTTATCATGGCTGAACTTGAATTTTTTTACACACTGTGTACTTGATGGTGGAACTGTCTTTTCCTTCTCTTTTCAGTTGTTTGGCCCAGGAATTCAGCCCCATCACTGTGATCTCACTAACATGGATGGAGTGGTCACTGTGACTCCCAGAAGTATGGATGCAGAGACCTACGTGGATGGCCAGCGCATCTCAGAGACTACCATGCTGCAGAGCGGCATGAAAGTGCAGTTCGGCACCTCACACGTGTTTAAGTTTGTGGACCCCATCCAGGACCACGTTCTTTCGAAGAGATCTGTGGATGGAGGCCTGATGGTCAAGGGCCCAAGACATAAACCTGGGTGAATGTGATAGCTCAGCTTAAGGATTTTAGTGTTTTGGCTATAAAGTAATTTTAGCTATATGCTGATGTCTTTATTTTCAGTTTTTATTATATTTTTTATTTTCTCTGTGCATGTGTGAGTGCCTGCTTTTTCTGGCATGAGAAGATATCTCACAGGCATGTACTTCTCTTACCTGTGGGTCCTATTCAGGTTGTCAGACACTTTACTCACTCCCATTTCCCATTCTTTTATTTCCACTTTTCAAAGATAAAAATTAAGGGCGTGGGATGTGGCTTAGTGCTCAGGAGCAGGTGCTGTTCTTGCAGAGGACCCAATGTGATTCCCAGCAACTGAGTCAGGCAGCTGTCTGTAATGCCAGCTTCGGGGCTTCTGATGCAGATACTACAAACACGTTTTTACATACATGCATGCAGGCAAAATATCCATGTAAAATAAAAATGAAGCTTAAGTTCATGCATTGGGAGTGTATTGAAAATTTGTATTGGTTTTGGACTTAATCTTAAAATTGGAAGTTTTGACTGGTTTTAAAGTTTCTTCCTTTTAAAGCTGATCTGTTCTTTGGGCCATCACCATAGTAACCAATAGTATATAAAACAGCTCTAGTAACACAAAGGGGATCTATTGAAGAATTCAGAACATTTTAGCTCCACCTAGTGTTTTCATGAGGTCTTGCAATGTAGTATGTCAAACTTTTTTTTTTGGTGAAGAGTAACTTTTCTTTTGGTTATAAGTTTGGAAACATATACTGTTAAACTGCTTTGTTACCCATTTTATAAGTTAACAAAGTATTGATCACGGAGAAGTAGCCACCATAACTCTTATGTTATTTACAAAAAAACTTCTAAGTCTACAACAGTGTAAACATAAGAATATGCCCAAAGAATATAAACATAAATCAACCTATAAACTGGTGTGATGGTGGGCTCTACTATTGTCCCTTTGTTTTTCATGTAACCCTAACTGGCCTGGAACTGGCCTCAAACTCATGGAGACCCTCCCACCTAACCTCCATTGGTTACTGTCACAGATCTGATACTTTGGACCAGATGCTATGGCTCAGAGTTAACATTTTTTTTTTCTCCAGTGTGGACACATATTGATATGCGCTCCTTTAGGCAAAAAGATGCTTGAAGTTTCATGTGGCATGTATGGAGGGTTTCTAGTTTCTCACCTTGAGTTGCAGGGGTTTTTTGTTTGTTTGTTTTGTTTTTAATTTATGTACTTGGGTATACATAATACATGTGTGCAGGAATGTAGCCCAAGTCCAAGGTGACTTTGTACTGACTTAGACGCCATCATATTATGACCTTTAGCTGTAAGAATCATACCTTTCCCACTACTCAGAATACAATAATGACATGCAGGTGCTTGGTGCATCAAGACTATAGTATGTAAATAATTCACGAACCAGTGCATAATCACACATCTCTGAAATACCCAAACCGATGTCTTGAAGACAGTTACACACAGAAAGCTAATGATTATTTTGGTCTTTAGTAAAAACCTTCTTAGAAGTTTTTCAGAGCATGGTATTGCTTTATGTTGCAAGATGTTTTATTTTCTTAGAGAATTATGTAGAGGAATTTCTAATAGAAAGGTGGTTTGAATTTCAGCTTTACTTGCTTGTTTTAGTCTATCAATCAAGCTTTGAAATTAGACTATGTAGTTCTCAGATGTTAGAACAATCCAGAAGTAGCCATTGCCTTATTCTTATTGACCTATAGATACCTTTAATCTCCTTTTCCTCTTAGGTTGGGACCAGTGTATTGTATTTACTTTTTATATATAAAGATATAGTTCCAGGACAGGCTCCAAAACTATAGAGAAAACCTGTCTTGAAAAAACCATATATATATGGTTTTGCTTGCCTCAGCTTGGTTCCTGTTGAAAATATGATTTTAAAGTTTTTATTATTTTCTTTATGTGTATAAGTGTTTTGCTTCCGTGTATGTCTGTACTTGGTGCCCGGAGAGGCCAGAAGAGAGTGTAAGATCCCCTAAAATTGGAGTTGCAGATGGTTGTGAGCTATGCGGTTGCTGGTAATTGATCTCAGGCTCTCTGCAAGAGCAGCAAGTACTCTTAACCATAGAGCCATCTCTCCAGCCCCAGTTTTTTGTTATTAGTATGTGGTTTTAAAAACAGTACTTATTCTGGGAGTGTTTGGTATACTTCCTAATAAGGAAAGATCACATATTTACTGTCACTTTGTTTTAAAGTCTATATTCCAAAATAAGTTTATTAATGGTCTTTGAACATTGGAATGCTTATCTCTTCTTGCTGTATTAAGAGTACTACCTTTTTGGTTGAAATTTAATTTTTATATTTCTTTTTCATTCAATAGAGCTGTTCAGGAGACAACCTTTGATTTGGGAGGAGATATTCACAGTGGGACAGCATTGCCAGCAAGCAGGGTAGGTGATTACGGATTCGTGACCTGATCTTCTTGAGGGTTGGATGTTATAGGACACCCAAGAACAGAAACTCCTTTGTAAAGACTTGACTTCACAGTAGCTTCTCTGCTGTATCTGCTCACTCGGTGATACATAATGAAAGGTGGCTAGCGGTCAGAATATAGTGCCTTCTCTTTCTAGGGGGGTAAGTGTGGTGCCTATGCTGCTGCTGTGTGCAGCTAACCTCTTGGGCCAGATCATGCTGAGGATAATGTGCCCTTGCTCCTTCCTTTACTACCCTTGATACAATACTGGATCTCCATTGGTTACTCACTTCTGTAAGTCACTGCATATACAAGTCATTCCTCTCTTCCTCTTGGTGATTTATTCCTGGATTAAAGTCACTGTAAAACTTGGTGAGCTGAAACAGCAGCCCCTTCATTTATTGATAATTGTATGAACTGGTTTGAGTTTACTAGGGCAGCTGGTTTACTGGTCTTGCTACTGGTCCCTCATGTGACTCCAGTCAGCTAGCGGGTAAATCAGTGACACACTCCTGGGACTACCCCTGCCTCTCTGTGCTGTTTCTTAGATGAGCGCTGTCAGAACTTGTAGTCAAGTGCTGCTCTATAAGACCAAGACCTTGAACTTGCAGGTGTTCTTAAGGGTTAGGCCCAGGGCTGGTATTTTTTCTGACTTTTATTGGTTGAAGCAAGTCAGGGCCAGATTTAAGGGGAAGAGGTCTTCTTGAGATGTGGTATGTTGGAGACCATGATTCAACTAAGCTGGAAACATTGTCATACAAATCAAAATATAATATAGGTTCTACTGATTCAGTTTGCTGTATTCCTCCAGTCTCTATCCCCATTGTGCTACTACACTATTCTCCGCATAATTTCTTGAAAGAATTGTCTGAGGTGACTGCTCATATGTCTAAGGTTTGTTGCTTGCACCAGGCTCCTGACCTCTACTGTGGTTTCTGTAGTCTTGTTAAAATAGTGTGTACTTAGAACCACTCTTTGATACATACTCTTCTGCTTCCAGGGTTGCTGTGTCTTTATCCCTGGGTCATGGCTTGGTGGCTCTTTCTCCGTTATACTTAGCTTCTGATAATTAGAGCTGATCTGTCAGATCTAGGGCCCTGCCTCTTCTATGTATGCATGTTCCCTTGGTGACCTTGCCATGTTGCCTAAGATTACACCATTTGATGGTCACTATCCCCTAATGTGTGTCCTTGACCCTGGTCTCCCCAAACTGAAATCTTCAGAGATTGATTGGCTTTCTATTATGTATCTGACAGGTATTTCAAATTTAACATAGTTTATTAAGCCTGTCTTTTGTTTTTTCTTAGACTTATTTCTCATTTTCTTCATTTTAGTAAGTTATATCACCAACCATGACTTTGCCCAGCTGAAGTCTGTCCCAAGTTGCCTTTGCTTTCTTTCCTTTGTACAACTCCTGTATGAGGGCTGTCATATCCTGTTTTTCTGGCTGTGATGCATCCACATGCCTCTGTGTAACTTACTTATTAGTGCTCAGTACTCATGCAAAGGACAGTGAAGTTTTGTGAGCAGGTGTTACTGGCCAGTCCTTGCTGGCTGTCATTGCTCTTGAATTTTAGGAATGTGCATTTGGTTTTGTTGGAGCCCTGCTGTCAGTCTAGTACTTTCCAACCCACACAACATGGCCTTCACCCTGTCTTTACAACTTCTGATACTGTGATTTCTCTCCTTCCGTGGGTATTGCGAGTAGTATCTTCCCCTCCCACTTCATACTCTGTTCTTATGTGTGCCCTCTTCTCTCATCTGAGTCTCTTATTCTTTGTTTTTTACATGGTCCTTTCTTGTCTTAGCACATCCTCCTGATGATGTCATTCTTGAGCAGCGTCCAGTCATACTACTACATGTAAGACTTTTGTGTGACTATTATTACTACCTGGTATCTCTGCTTGCTAATTGATGATGTGACCTGTGAACTCTGGACATGAACATTCCTGTTTCATGAATTATTGTTGTACCTCTAATGCTTTGATTAGTGCCATTCAGCAACAGAATCTTGGCACATACAAGTGAATAAATACTTGAGAGGCCAAGCAGACCTTCTCTCGTAAGAATGTATACTCAACATAGAGGGAAAATGAAAGTCCATTGCCCAGAGTATATAGGTGACTCTTGCTAACATTGGCGGACCCTTTCCAGAGTACTTAGGTCATAGGGAGGCAGGTGTGCCTATGCCTTTGTGTTCACTTACATGTTTCAACTGAACTATTAGACTTTTGTCTGTCTGCATACCTTCTGTACTGTGATACACTGTTAATTGTGAGCGTTTTTTTCTTAAGTCACTTAAAAATAATTCTTTAGTATACAAGCATATAAACATGCCCTAATTTATTTTTCCATTGCCATTACTGGTCATTTATAAGGTTTTTTGTTTTGTTTTGTTTGTTTTGTTTTTGTTTTTATTTTAGTTTTAAAGCCTAAAAATAGTGCCATCTGCTGGCCAGTTTTATTTTTGTGATTGTAACTTGGGGAAGTAAAATGACTTTTCTTTCAAAATCATTTTGTCTTTGTATTTTGTTGCTAAAGTCTATTCCTTGCTATTTAAGGAAAAAAAAAAGGCTGTTTTCATGTTCTTGCACTCACTGCTGTGAGCTCTGGCCTAGTGTCTGACCTGTTTCTGACTCTCTGTCCTGCGTCCTCACCTTTCCTGCATAGCAGCCCGCAGCGCCAAGTGTGTGTGAGGTGTTCAAAGCCCTGTGGTTTCCTTTGGACAGAGCACGACTAGACTGGACAGTGACAGGATGTCCTCTGCCTCCAGCACCGCTGAGCGAGGGATGGTGAAACCAATGATCCGACTGGACCAGGAGCAGGACTATCGCCGAAGAGAAAGCAGGTAACTCCTGTGACTGAGTGTGAGAGACGTGAGCACCCCTAGAAGGCTTTGGGGTAAAGATTGCTGAATTTATAGATTTAGCCAGAAGTTTTAGAAAGTTTGCTAGGCTTTTATGAGTATTTTTATATTAATGAATTGAAGAAGAGTAAAATGAATATTTAGTAATTGCATTCCTTCCTTTCCACAGAGTAGCCTTGCTGATACGGGTACATTGAGTTTCACTTTCTCTTCTAAGTTGGCTGCTCTATAGCATACATAGGGAAAGGAGTTTTCATAACATTTTAGTATGTGGTCATTTTTATAGAGAAAATTATTGTATCCATCTCTAGAAGAAATTAAAAAAATGTAAAGACAAAAATAATTTTGGAGAGACATTTCTGTGTCCCAGACTCTCTTGTGTCTGTCTCCCTGCTGAGGCAGAGTGAGTTACTTCCCTTTACATTGTTGCCTCATTTCTCATAGCATGAGCATCTCTGCTTTCTCTTTTCTTTTATGCTTTTTAATATGTTACCTTCTTCATAAATCAGGATTCTCTAAGTATGTAGCAGACTGTGTCCCACGTGCTCACTGTTAAGAGACACCATAGGACTTAGAGCCATAGAAGCCACAGATGGGGAGAAGGAAACACCGTATGAACTCTGTATGTTGTTGGCAGGGAGCTGAGAATACTATTGACCTGTTACAGGGTTTTGAAGGAGGCGTTCTTTCTGTTCTTGTTAGGGATCCAGAACAGATGGTTAGTAGAAGCAGACTTCCCTACATTTAGAGTCAACGATCAGTTCAGTCATAGGCCATAAAAAGTCGTATGTCACTTTGCCATCTTCCAGCAGAGGGCACTGTGTATCGCATGATCATTAATAAATTCAGTCATGTAATTATCAGCAAATACCATAATATTTTTCTTTTGGGGTTTTTGACTATTCGTGTAAGTTTTTTTGGGAGGGGCTGTGTAATTATTAGGTGTCATAAAAGGTAGTTCTCTTTCTATGTTTACACTTGTTTTAGGTGGTATAGAGAAATAGATTATGGTATCTGTCATGGTGAATGGTCGAATCAGTGATTTGTTTGTCCTGGTGTTATAGTCCTCGGTGGCCTTGAATCTCAGTGTGTGTGTCGTACAGATCTGGAACTCAGAGCTCCTTCTGTCTCTACCTCCCAAGGTTGGGATTCAAGGTGTGCTACCACATTTGGCATGAGTTGGTATTGTAATGATCACAGTCATGTGACTGTATGTGATGGAGAAGTGTGACTATTCACTTAGGTGGGAAGAGGAGAGACAAACCATGGACACAAGTGAATATGTTCTGTTATAACAAAATAGACATGTGAAGGCTAATTAAAATTATTTCTTATAAAAAACATTTTGATAATTTCATGCAAGGTAAGGCTAGTACTAAAAGTTTTATTTATTATTTACTCTAGGGATGCTGTTAAGACATTGATGTTAAAACAGGATGGGAACAGAAAACCTATCTTCTAATTCCTAATTCACTTTTCACATTGATAATGCTGAAATTAGCAGTGCTTAATTGGCATATTGTAAAGTCTTAGTTATTTTAACAAATGGGTTTAGAATTATAATTTTAAGCAAGTACAAACATCCTTTTGAGTGATGGGAGTGACTTTTCTTTTAATAATCACCAACATTTTTTTTCCTTTTCCAGTTAACATAAACCCTTTACTAAATTTGTTAAAACAATGAAATGAATAATTTATATAGTTTATGCAAGTAAATTCTTTTAAAAATTTGAAACTGCCTGCAAGGCAAGGTGGTATACACTGTTAATTGTGGAGGCAAATGGATCTCTGAGTCTATGAGTTTGAGGCCAGCCTGATCTACATAGTGGCTTCCATGTCGGCCAGGGCTTTATGGTGAGACCATGTCTTTAAAAAAAAAAAAAAGAGTACACTTTTAGTATAAGATCTGTATTGAAATAATCATGCTTTTAAATCATTATTTTCCCAAATTCTTAAGGTAAACTCAAATTGTTAAATTACAGACTGGAATAAACATTGAATAATATAATTTAATGGAAAGAATTTTGCTTTTAAAATGATAATAGTTTGCGTTAACTTACATTGTGTTCTGTTTTTCTTTAGAGTGTGTGCGTGCGTGTACATATATGTATGTGTGTTATATGGGTGCTGGGATTCAAACTTGGTTCTCAGCATTTTTTTTTTTTAACCGTTAAGCAATTTCTCCAGTCCCTTGGTATTCTTTTATTTTTGTTCATCTTTCCAATGGAAGAGAATATTTCAGTTAGCTGGTCTGCAAATTACTAGAAACCTGTATCTTCTCACTGTTACCTGAGCTGGGTGGCTTAGATCCTCATCTTCAATCTGCAGTGCTCATTAATAATCCAGACGCCTTACCTGCCTTCTGTCCAGTCGTCTGAGTGTGTGACTGGGGGAATAGAAGAGGCTCTCGTGTAGCCCTTCAGAACTCCATGTGGAAACAAGTGGCAGACAGTGACATTGTTAGCTGTTGACCTTACTTTAAGGCAATTTTAAGTGATGTCAGTTTTTCTTTTAGAACCCAGGATGTGACTGGGCCTGAGCTGATACTGCCTGCCAGCATTGAATTCAGGGAAAGCTGTGAGTCCTTTTAGAACCTGCTACTAGTGAATGAGTTCTTGTCCCACTTTTCTCCAGATGACATTTCTGTTCATTTTTCTTCTTTCTAAAATCTTTTTACAGCGGAAGATTCTTTTTTGTCTGCCATTATAAACTATACCAATAGCTCTACAGTTCACTTTAAGTTGTCGCCGACATATGTGCTGTACATGGCATGCCGGTATGTATTGTCCAGCCAGCACAGGCCCGACATCAGCCCTGCAGAGCGCACACATAAGGCCATTGCTGTTGTCAACAAGATGGTGAGCATGATGGAAGGGGTCATCCAGGTGAGTGTCCGCCCAGCAAGCCTGCTGGGAAATGGTAGCCATCTTTTTAGTTTCTGTGACGTTTCTAAAGTTCTGATTGCAAGTTTGCCTTTATAGCCTAAGAGTCTTTTTTTAAAAAATAAATAAAAATAAAATGCATAGCTTTTAAAGTCAAAAGTAAATAAAAATTTTTTAAAACTTTCTTTTCTGGAAATTATAGAATAAATGAAGATAAATTATATGTTGCAGCACAATCATCTTAAAATTAGTTGCTGAGAAAGTGCTGAGGTGATGGTCAGTTTTCTTTGAGTTTTCTCTAAATTACTGAAGTGAAATCCACACAGTGTATGTGTGCAGCTCTACCTTGAGAATGTCTCCAGTGCCAAGAGGGTAGCCGTCCTCCCTTCCACAGGCCCTGGTGTTTGTTGTCAGGCATTTGCTTCTTTCTCATGAGCTTGCTATGGTGTTGGGAGTGTGTAGTTCTGACATCTAGATGTAGGGCTGCTGGGTTTGAGGGTGAACTTCACTGGGGATGGACTTCTTTCACAGTCCTGCTACTCAAAATCCATAGTTGATAAAATTGGCTCAGCTGTTTTTTATATTCAGGAAGTTTGAGGATTTAATTGTAAACGTTGTTATAAGTAAGTTTATAGACTTTAAACTTTTTCAAACTTAACCAGTGCTTTTACTCAGCTAAGAAAGTAATAATGCAATGTTAAATACTTTGGTTACATGGTTTGGTGATTAAAAAAAAAATCCTGGCAGTATAATTTGTGGGAAACTGAGATGGTCTTTTAATACTCTCCAAGTTGTTTTTATTAAAAAGCCAACAGTTTTCCACAAATGTTTCTTTTACATATGAGTGACTCACACAGTAGGAGTTTGATGGACTTGTCCAACCTAAAGAATAGATAAAAATGAAGTCACTTTATCTGGATATTTTGTTATTCTGGTATCATCACTTTATATATAAACAAACAAATGTCCTTTTAAGTTATCATTCATAGTCATTGTCTGTCTCTTGCCATGTGTGGACTGCGGTACTCCAAGCACCAGACTGCCTTTGGGAACTTGTCCTTGCTGTTGTCTGCTAGTGAGGACTTTGACTGCTGTCTGGGAAAGGCTTTTAAACATCAGAGTAGGTTCATTGTAAAATTGGAACACTCTGTTGGCGGAAACAAATTACGACAGCAAATAATTTCAAGAAGTAATTTAAATTCTATTTTTAAAATTTATTCCCTTTAGTATAGCTGTAATATGAATTCTTTATGTACTTTTAAGATTTTCTGCTTTTATTTTGATTGTTTTTCTTGGTCTTTTCATTCTCATTCTCATAATTAATTCAGGGGAAAGGACTCCTTTACCTTTAAGTAGTAAGTCCACAGTATCATTTTTAAAAAGTGTTTGGAAGTCCTTCCTTTGCATGTCAGTATTATCATTTGTGTTTTATTATGACATCATCTTTATAAACTGTAAAACTCAGTTGTGCGAATGTTAAGAACATGAAACCAACCCTTTATGTCAAATAACTTGGGAATAACTAAGTGTCGTACTTCATGTCGTACCTTCATGTTAGTGTTTTAATTTTTTTAAACTATCATGATTGTTTACAAGTTTCTTTCTCTCGTTCTGCTTGATTTCCCCTCGTCTGTTTTTCTCCAGGAAGTAGACCAGGTTGATCAGGTAGGAAATGCTGCTGGGAGCTGATCCTAGCTGTGTTGGCTTAGCTGAGTTTCTCATGCTGCTTCCATTACAAATATGATCCTACAAAACCTGGACTGAGCAGTTCATAACCCTCATTCAGCAACTGAAACATGCAGTACTAAAATCCTTTTTGACTGTGCAACTTTATCAGCATTTCATAATTTCTGCTTAATGCACTTCAGTGTGGATATGAAATGACAAAAGTTCTGTTTCTTCTCTATTATTTATCCTTGGTTCCTATTCTTTGGATCTCATCTAAGGTTGCCTGGCCTGCAAATGTGGTCGGGAGAGGACGTGATAGATCAGTACTTGATACTGAGTTGCATGGTGTCCAAGCCAGTGACTACAAGTATCAGGGAGGCTGTGGGTAACCATGGATACATGTGTGTATGATACACAGATTACCAGATAATGCGTAATCTTCAATTTGATTTGGTAATACATGATATCTCCGTTCTCTACTAATTCCGCAAATTACATCTAATTAGACCAGTATGTCTGTGTCCTTGCATCCTGAGATGCTGCAGTGCTTATTTACTTCCCATTGCTCTGCATGTACCTAAATTTCTTTGCAAGTATCTGGTATCTGTGGTAAATACCTGGTGAAGATGGGAAGGTACTGGTCTATCTTCAGCTTTTCAAGAGCATTCCTATTTATTTCTAATCTTTCTAGTATCTGACATTTGTTAATGGAAACATTTTCTGTCCACAGAAACAAAAGAACATTGCCGGGGCACTTGCTTTCTGGATGGCAAATGCATCTGAACTTCTCAACTTTATCAAGCAGGATCGAGACCTTAGTCGGATCACACTAGATGCCCAGGATGTTTTGGCACACTTGGTTCAGATGGCCTTTAAGTAAGAAACGCATTCTGGAAGGAGTTACCTTATGTGTTTCCTGTTCTGTTTTCAAAACTAATACTAAAGATTTTCATTTAAACTAATTGAAGATGCTAACCAAGGAGGTTGGGAAAATGTGCTGACTAAGAGCACTACATTCTGGGACTCCATTCTAGTGTCCCAGAGTGCAGTTTTTGTTATTTTTAGTAGAAAATATTCTTAAAGAATAAAGATTGTCTTAATAAAAGGTCTTAACACTATCTGTGCAAACTTGCTAAGGTTATTAAAATTATGTATTTTCAGGTACTTGGTTCACTGTCTCCAGTCAGAGCTTAATAACTACATGCCAGCCTTTCTGGATGATCCCGAGGAGAACAGTCTGCAAAGACCAAAAATAGGTTAGGGTCTGTGTGCCTTCCTCCACCATTTAACTTAATTTAATTTGGTATTTTTTGTTTTGTTTTGTTTTTAAGATTTTTTTAAATCTTTAAGTATATGTGTGTTTTGCTTGATTATTTGTACCATATAAGAGCTACAGAATTGAGAGGGTGTCAGGTTTCTTGGGCTGAATTACAGGCTGTTGTGAGCCATCATGTGGATGCTGGGAATCGAGGGAATTGACTGAGCCATCTCTCCAGTTCCTAGTTTTGTTTGTTTTTTTGATGCCACTGACCTTTGTCTGGTTATAGGCCCAGCAAAGTTCTGCTGTGCCATTCTGCTAAGGACTATGTTTTAATTTTTAAATTTTTTATGTATATGAGTTTTGACCGCATGTATGTTTGTGTCTAGTACCCACAGAGGCCAGACGAGGTCATGGGATTCCCTGGAACTAGAGTTATAGATGGCTGGGAACTGAACCTGGGTCCTCTGCAAGTGCAGCTCGTACTCTTAGCTTCTGAGCCACCTCTTCAGCCCTTAAATTTATCTTAATGTTGAATATATTGTTATATATTGAATATATATATAAGGGGTGTGTTTTTAGGATTTATTGATGTTATATGTTTGTATGAGTGTATACAGTGGGTGCCAGTACCCGAGGAGGCCAGAAGAGGGCGTTAGAGCCCTAGAGTATCTGCAGCTGGGAAAGGAACTTGGGTCTCCCAGATCAGTAAGTGTTCCTAACCATGTAGCCATCTTTCCAGCCCCAGGGTGGTTTCTTCAATGTCTTATTGGATTTGGAAGTCTTTGTAATAACTTCTAAGTTAATTTATGAATAATATTTGCTATGTTGATAATATATAAGAAGTCTTAAAGTGTCTTCTAGGTGAATTTATATTTGAATTATGGTTAGTTAGTAACTGCATGTATTTGAGACTACATCCCTGCTTTTTGTTTGAATTTGACACTTACCAGTTAATTGCTACAACTACTTATGTCTAAAGTTGGTATGACTCAGAAGGTCTACAATGACTTCTGGTCTCTGGATTTCTCTTCCATGTCCTGAACAGATGACGTGCTGCATACACTCACCGGAGCCATGTCCTTGCTGAGGCGCTGCAGGGTCAATGCTGCCTTGACCATCCAGCTGTTCTCCCAGCTCTTCCACTTTATCAATATGTGGCTGTTCAACAGATTGGTGACTGACCCAGATTCAGGCCTCTGTTCTCACTACTGGGGAGCAATTATCCGCCAGCAGCTAGGGCATATTGAAGCCTGGGCAGAGAAGCAGGGACTAGAGCTGGCGGCTGATTGTCACTTGAGCAGGATTGTGCAGGTGTGTACAAGGTTGTACTCCATTCTCTGTGCTTCTCCCTCTTCCCTGTTAATGTATTGGTGGTGAATTTCAGATTTTATAATGGACAAGAACTTGGGTTCAGTAAATAAAGCCTCAGTCTTTCTCTCGTCACGTAGATTCAGGCAAGATCTTGGCTGCTGTAACAAAGCAGCTAAAACTAAATGTCATAGCAGGCATTTATTGCCTCCCACTTCTGGAAGCTAGAGCTCGGAACCACGGTGCTAGCTGTGTGAGTACCTTTTGAGGGACTGTTACAAATCTGTTCTACCATCCTCTGTTGGCTTACACCCAACGTAGGCTTTTGTTGGACAGTTTTGCTGTAGTCTTTGTGTGGCATTCTTGGATACATGTCTGTCCAAGTGTCTGGTTTGTACAAGGGTACCAGTAGCATGGCCCTCCTTTTTAACCAACGGTATATAAACAAGGTCCCTTTTCTGTAATACTCAGGCCTCCAACATCAGAATTTCAAGGGTCATTGTTCACCCTATAACAAGGTGTATAAACAGTAGGATAGAAATGTCATTGAAGTGTTTTTGTTGAGATCAGCAAGATACACTTTAAAAAGCCTTATACTGAAGTATAAATGGTAATTAGTTAGCAAGTCGTATTCTGCTATCTTAACAGCTCTCAGAGAAAGCTTTAGATTCAAAAGTCTAGGAACTGCTTTTTATAACTAAGAGAATGAGTATGTGCCACCTCAAAACATACAACATTTAGAATCTTTTCTAATATATTAGCTTTTGTTTTTTATGCCTTCATCTCCTCTAAAGGTATTCATTATCCTGAGAAACTAGTTAGCTCTCAACTTTTATCAAAATCTGTATCAGCAAGATTCTCTTATTCCTATAATTGATCATGTGGATTGCTGTATAAATATTCAGACTTTCAAAGAGACCTTTATAAGTGCATCATAAACATTGATACTTGGATCAGATTATGTTAAAACATAAAAACTAAAGTAAATCCAAGAGGCTATTTTGAAAAACCTCTAAAAGTATGCTTGTAGTTTAATTTATGTTGCTAAATGTTAATGCCTCTTTATAAACATTCTTCATTTCAAAACCAAATTAACAAGTTATTAGCTTAGCAACTGTTAGAAAAGGGTTTTCTGATTGGTGTTACTGGGAATTTGAACTCAGGACCTCACATATGATGCTGAGTGTGAGCTCTTCCACTAACCTACTCTCTCAGCCTTAATGAGAAAATATTTTTAGTATCTTACTTCATAATATTTATTCTCTTAAATAGGCTACTACTTTGCTTACCATGGATAAGTATGTGCCTGATGACATTCCAAATATAAACAGCACATGCTTTAAGTTAAATTCTCTGCAACTTCAAGCCTTATTGCAAAATTACCACTGTGCACCTGATGAGCCTGTTATCCCTACGGTAAGTGAATATTACCATGATACCATGTAGTGTGGGCATGTCTGCACAGGAAGGGCAGGATGAAGGGGAAAGAAAAGGAAAGCTTTCTCAGTGATGTGTCAGTAGTGAGCTTACCTAAAATTATCATAGGAGATCATTTTTATCTGAAGTCTTATTTGTGCAAAGAATATAGATTATATATGCATTTTAGAAAGAAATTATCTAATTTGGGGCATTGCTTCTTAGGAAATTTTTGGAAGGACTAGAAGGAAGTTTAAAGCACTGTGCTTAAGTACTGGAGAGTCAGATCTGCTCATAAAGCTTCAAGGATTTTTTTCATATACCATATGTGCATTGCTGCCATCAGCAACAGCATAAGTCTTCACTACCAAAGCAGTCTTTTCAGATTTCATACATCAGTGTCTGATCAGTAACAGCCAGTCTCACTCTGAAGAGAGCCTGGGATTTTATGTATACTGATCTCATACTGTAATAAGGACTCCAGGGTAAGAAACCCATCCATAATATCTATCCTTATTGATTGTACCACAGATACTACCATCTTAAGTTAATACCTGGGAGAAATAGTTGAAAGAAAAGATTTGGCCTCAAGGTTTCTGAGTTTCAGTCCATGATTAACTTGTTCCCTGATTATGGACTGTAGTAAGGGAGAGGACATGATTGCAAAGAAGATGCTGTGAACGAGAGCTGCTTACTCCCTTTAGCCAGGAAACAGAAAACTCGTGGAGCTCTCTCCTTTGGTCATAACATGGTGTTGCCATCTTAAAATTAGAGGAGCTGATAGCCCACACTAGACCCTTAAGACACAGGATTGAGCCCACTAACATCATGTAGTGGAATAGGGGAAGGACGCACAGGACCCCTTGTCTACCTGAAGAATATGTGAACAGGTAACAGTTTCTGGTGGTCGGGAAACTCAGCTCCTCTTTGGTGGTATACCTACCTGTAAGTTGTCCATGCTGCTTTTAATGGGTAACCCCATTTAAATATTTACCATGCCAGGCTTGGATAGAATCATTTTTTTGTCCTGTTCTTTCTTTGTGTATACAGGGTGAGTATATATGGACACTTCAGTTTAAAAAATAAAAATTCAAATACAGGAAGGGGGTCCATTAAAGATCAACCCTCACACCCGCCCCACCCCTGCGACCTTTTTCCAGTTAGACCTAATTTTTCCTGATTCTACCACTTCATGATAATCCATTCAAATTTTGAATTCACCAACTATTAATTCATTGACTAAGACAAGAGTCCTTTTGACCTAATCATTTCTCCAAAGCCTCACTTCTTTCATATGGGTAGCAAGCCCCCAATCCATAAACCTTTAGGTGTGCTTCAGATCCAAACCATACCATCTTAATCTGAGCCAGTTGTGTCTAGATTATTCTAGTTGATGGGCAATTGAATTTCAGTATTGAGTTATAACAATAAAAGACAGGTACAAAATAGCCAGCAGATGAAAATAACTCAGTTAGCAATACAGTACTCCAGAAAACCATGTGTCAGTGATGTGAGGAATGTGTGTACAGTGAAGAAGGAATTGTGGTTGCCTCCATGATGTGCATGAATATTATAATGCAGTTGTTGCAAAAGAAACTGTATGTGTATGTAAAATATATGCAGTGGCTTCCAGCTAGTTAATTTCAAGAATAGACAAAACTTTGTGTGACATTTAAACCTGGGTAGTTGTTCCCTATATGGAAAAGGAAGATGGTGGTAGAGCCCAGGGCTGCTTTGCTCCTGATACTGAAGTTGTGGGGGAAATGAGCTGGGATCTTCATTTTAATGGATCATAAAATTGACATTTGAGCTTCACATGTTTGTTTTCTTTCTCACTATTCTCCACCCTGAGATGTGTGTGTATGTGTGTTTTAGTACTGTATTTGGTAATAAAAATTATCCACAGGCCCCCCCCCCAGTTCTGCAACTTTTCTGTTAATAGACTTTTTTTTTAATTTTATGTGCATTAATGTTTTGCGTGCGTGTGTGTGTGTGTGTGTGTGTGTGTGAGAGAGAGAGAGAGAGAGAGAGAGAGAGAGAGAGAGAGAGAGAGAGGGAGGGAGGGAGGGAGGGAGGGAGGGTGTTGGATCCCCTGGAACTGGAGTTAGAGGCAGGTGTGAGCTGCCATGTGGTTGCTGGGAATTGAACCTGGGTCCTCTGGAAGAGCAGAGGACCAGTGCTCTTCACTGATGAGCCATCTCTCCAGCCCTATTAATAGACTTTTAATCAAAGATATTTTTGTTTGTTATTGTTTTTTAATAGTTATTTTATAAGGTTTTCTGTACAGAATTTCATGTTCTATAAAAATAATCATTTGCAACTTAATAATATGTGCAAATAAATCAACTTCTTTGGGCAAGAGAAGAGGATCTTTTGCTTCCCCCCCCCCGGCGTGTTTTTTTTTCTTCCTTGAGACGGTTTCTCTGTATAGCCCTGGCTGTCCTGTCCTGGAACTCATTTTGTAGACCAGGCTGGCTTTGAACTCAGAGACTTGCCTGCCTCTGCCTCCTGAGTGCTGGAATTAAAGTCGTACACCACCACTGCCCAGTGAGACTATCTTGTGGTAAAACAGTGTTTTAAAGCCATATGTAGTTGTGAGTTAATCAGCCTCTTGTTCTGTCTTTAAGTATTGTGTGTTGGGTGTGCACCTTGTAAAGCCAACTTTCTGTGTCCTGTTGAGTGTGCTATCCCTGAGGTCATGTCTGTGACAGCAAAGTGCTTCCCGTTGGTCAGAATCTCTTGATGAGTCCGTATCTGTTTTCTGCAGGATCTCATAGAAAGTGTTGTGGCTGTTGCTGAGAACACAGCTGATGAGCTCGCTCGCAGTGATGGCAGAGATGTTCAGTTGGAGGAGGACCCTGACCTACAACTACCTTTTCTTTTGCCAGAAGATGGATATTCCTGTGATGTCGTCAGAAACATTCCAAATGGTTTACAAGAATTTTTAGACCCTCTGTGCCAGAGAGGTAAATACCACTTGTCATACCTCAGTTGGAGCACGCAGCTGGGTTCAAAGGAGCTTCGCACTGGCTCTCTGAATGACAGGCCTATGGAACTGTGCCTAAGGAAACTGTGTTCCTATGACTCAAGAGAGTTTCACTGAGATGAAAGATCTCACATGCCCGGACACCACCCATGTGGGTGGGTTGCGTTCCTTGATTGAGCACCTGCTCTCTTCCCACACGGTGCCACAACAAGGGACCTTTGATTATACCTTTCTCCTGGCAGCACAGGCTCCCAGGGTTCTGAGAGATCCTAGCTCACTGCCCGCCAGCTGAACTGTCACAGGCTGGTCTTCTGTTGTTCCTTCCTCACAAAGTGGGCTAAGAGGTGACGATGGACAGGTTGCCTGTTGAGGGAGGCTCTGAGTACCCAGTGTCCTGCCACAGCTTCTGGGCCTGCCACCTCAGGCAAACGTGTAGCTGTCTCCAGCTTTTGCCTGACTGCTTCTGTGACCTTTAATATACTGTTTTGCTGGTATATGATAATTATAAAAAAAACTTTTTCTTTTTTCTTTGAGGCAGTACAAATTTTAATCTACTCTGCTACATTTTTTTTTATGTTGTAAAGAATAACAGATGAGTAGGAAAGTAGACCCAAAGTATAGGGGTTCAATTAAGTGACAAATAGTAAGACTAGTGAAGGGACTGGCCATAGATAAATGTAGTGTGTGATTGTTTTTTTTTTTCAAATCTCAGTGACTGTTTTACCACAAAAAATGTTTCATATCTTCAAAAGTATAGTGATGAAAAAAATTCATTGCATTGGAAGATGACCTCTTTGCATGAGCTCTGTGTTGTGGGCACGGCAGTTTGTGCTTCAGCTCTCCTAGCATGTCTGCTGTGCTCCGACACAGAGTCCAAGGTTGGGGAAACAGAGGTGAGGTCATTTAGGAAAACTGCATGATGCTTGAAGGAGAGTGGACATGTTTAGGCCTGAGAAACCCTCATTCATGGTACAGGTAGACCTGTATCCAGATAGGGAAATTGAGCCCGGCTGCAATAGTTTGAACATTCTAGGCATCCATCTTTAACAGAAAAACTTAAGCCTGCATTGGGAACACAGTAAAGCAGCCTGACTGCTTGCTGAAGATGTACTTAAAGGTGTTTCTATGTGCGCATCTCAGCAGAGCAGGTTAATAGATTCTTTATCCCCAGGAGTGGGTCTTATCTATTCCTTCTGTTGGGAGGCTGTGAGCTGCTCATGAGAGAGACCATGTGTCTAGAGGCTTTTCCATCAAGACTGTGTACAGAGCCAGGGACTAGGGTGCTAGTTTGTTATAAAGGGGTATGAGCATTGTGCCTTCCCAGTGAAGCTTCGTCAGGGGGTTGTATCTTATCTTCCAGGGCATGTGTAAGTCTTCTCTTCCCAGTGGTGGTATGAGTATTGTCTTCACAGTGCTGAGTTACTGTAGCTTCGTTTTGGCTGGGCTTCCTCACTCCTGTCCATACTCACTTAGGCATGCTTCATGCTGACACTCAGAAACGTGTTAATTAATGTTTTGTAAATAAGTAAGCTAGGAGACTAATCTGCTCCAACTTTGCAATGGACATAATTTATAATGTGCTGGTTTTGTCTTGTACACCATGGGTATTTGCCAGCATGGAAACTGTGAGGTCTTAACTTGACGAAGAGTTTCCTTCATATCTTCCCCTAGGCTCTCTTTAAGTGATCTTAGGCCATTTGGTATTTCATTCTGGTTTTGACAACCATATATTGTTTCATACATGTTGGATGTTTATAGTTCATTCAACCTAGCACACAGATGCCTTTAAAGGTGTAAAGTGGGCTGAGTCTTATGACATCAGTGTTTCTTAATTCTTTACACTCCAATCTTTGTAAACTGATTAAAGAACTACTGTGCACTCTCAGTACCCCACCCCTTCTCAGTGCTCTGCAGTTCTGTGAAAGACTGAAACCAGCCCAGACCATTCCAGGGTTATGATGAGTGCCTCAGCTGTGACAAATCCGTTTCCATGAGCAGTATAGTGCAGAGCTTGTTGTGGAAATTGGACATTTGAAAATATAAAACATTGTTTATAGTTATTGAAATTTCAGATTTTTAATAGCATTATAGTTCTCTAAAACATGAGGAAGTAAAAAATTCTGGTTACATATCAATGAAACTGCTGTATTGAAACATTTTTAAAGTGAAATTACATTATTTTTTTTTATTTTAGTTGATGCTCTTTATATTTCTCCTTCCTTCTTCCACAAGTACATGTGTGATAACAGCAATCTAAATTATATTTCATTGATAAAACACCAAACCGGGGATGACTCTGGACAGCTAGGCTTCAGGCATGCAGCTGTCCACATATGGTGAGACCTTGAGCAACACTGACTGTTCACGACAAGAGGATGAAGACAGTAGCCCTGGAGCAAACTTTATTTTGTCAAAAGTAACTGAGGACTATAAAAAAAATTAACTAAATTAAGATGAGATGGCTTTGAATAAAGGTCTTGGTATTTTAAATATGTTCTCTATCCTGAATAAGGATATCAGAAATACTTTGGTGGGAATATTAGGGATCCAGCTAAGGACTTTGCACATAATAGGTAAAAAAGTGCTCTACACTCAGCTGTAACAGAAAGCTGAGGCAGGGGGATTATGGGTTTGAGGCTAGTCCAGGCTACAAAGTAAGTTCAAAGCTCCTGCCTCAGAAAACAGCAACACAGAACCATTCTTTAAGACTTTAAATGCACACGAGCTGAGGAAGTGTGTACAAAATGTTGTGAGAAAGGAAGTGGTCTGTAGTGTAAGACATTCAATCCAGCCTGGTGTTAACAGGTTGGTAGCCCATGTCTGTCATTCTCTGGTTCCTATGCCTTTCTTCTGCTAAACAAATATGTATGTCACGGAGGGTTTTCCTTTCGGGTGGAATGTATAGTTCTGTAAGACTGTATTTACAGAACAGTTCACCAATTTTCATAGAAAGAAAAATGGTTTAAATCAGTAATCTGTCTTGTTTTCCTTGTTGAAAATTGTGTGGGATTAAGTTTGTCTTACCTGTCTTATAATAGTTATTTTCTTTTTAGGATTTTGCAGGTTGATTCCTCATACACGTTCACCAGGTACTTGGACGATATATTTTGAAGGTGCAGATTATGAAAGTCACCTTATGCGTGAGAACACAGAACTGGCAAGTATTTGAGGTTGGGATGGAGTAAAATATGAAATGTTCATAATGACTTCAGAGATGTGATATAATTTATTCTTTCCGTACATGGAATGTTATAACGGAAAATTAGAAAATGATTTTCTAATACTAATTTGATTCAAACATTTTAAAACTTTGATTTGTAAAAACACATGCATTTACTTCCTGAGCCAGGTCTGTACAGTTTTTTGTAGTAAGATAAATGGTTCTGTAGCAATAAAGAATATTTGTGATCACACTTATGGCAGCCTACATACATATTTTTGGAACATATTAGTATAATAACTTTGAACAGTTTTATTATAAAATATTTTTCAGTGGAAAAAATTATTCTTTTCTAATGATATTCTATTTGTCTTAAATGTGTATCAGATAATTCATAATTTTGAAATAGTAAGAAATTTTATTAATCTTGAAAATTACATTTTGCTTCAAATATAGTTTCAAAACGAATACTTTATATAGTATATATGTTTATATAAAACTTTAGATTTAAACATGTATCAGAGCCATCTCCTAAAATTGAATTGATAGTTGTCATTATGCCAAATATGTGGACTTACTACTAACAAAGTGACCATTTCTTTTTATTGAATTCCTTTGTTTGTTTTTGGTCAAATTCAAAGTAACAGTATCAATTTCTGATGACCAGATTTTATAGGAAAGCAATTACTTTTTGGATTCATTGATTATTCATCTTTCAGATTTATTCTCAGATTACCCAGGAGATAGATTTCAGTCTGATCTATGTAAAACAAAAATTTTAATATCACATGATTTTATTTGTTTTCTCCTTCCTGTTATTTCGTGATCTTTACAGTTACTCACCTTTCATTAATCACTGTCTTTGCCATGTGCATCTTAGTAGTTATGTTTCCTCTCAGGGTATATTCAGTGTTCATTTTGTTTTTAATTTTGTTCACACTTTAGTGTGAAGTTTGGCATGAGTGTAATATGTGACTTAAATAATGCTTTCCTTAAAAATCAAAATACAACAAAAACCACTGTCTTTGAATCTATCCAAGCCCTGACTGCCTCTTCTGCTCGGCTATGCTCAGTTCCTTTGCATTGGTTGCCCAACTCAGGATGTATTTCTTGATGAAGCACTGGAACTACAGCTGTTGTATCCTATAGTTCTTTATGTTCACCGTTTTAAATAAAATGTGCAGTTTCCCAAGAGATGAAGATATTATTTCATCTCTGTTATAGCCATTTTCTGCTATCTTCCCAAACAGTGGAAAAGTATAAAATAACTTTAAGCTTTTTCTTTGGAAAACAAAACAAAACCCTAACAGTTTATTTTAAAAGATCATAAAGGTAAAATTTGGATTTTGTTTTTATGGTTGTATTTTTTAACCTGGTAGAAAATGGAAGCTTAATCTTGTTTCATAAATCAATTCTTAACATTTGAATGGCATTTGTAGCTAGGTTTATCTTTTAAACTCTGGCCAAATGATGTAATGCTGTTTAGCAAATGAAAAGTACCTGAGGTAGTGGACTTTTATACCCTTTCTTTTCTTTGTTTATAACAAGTTAACTAGCTTTCTAACCATATGAGATAAAATGGAACTCTTTTCTCATCTTTAGGCCCAGCCTCTGAGGAAGGAACCTGAAATAATCACCGTGACCCTAAAAAAACAGAATGGAATGGGCCTCAGCATTGTAGCCGCGAAGGTAGGACTGAGGGAGCCCCTGGAGAGCATCTTCTGCCATCCACGACCATGAGTCAGCATGGACCAGAGTGATGGTCAGCTCTGCTTCTGGGAGAAGGGAGCATGCTGCCTGAAGGCAGCTGCTGTCCTCCTGGCGTTCCCATGGCTGTAGTGAATGGCTCCTTGAGATGGCATGGTCAAGACTAGTTAGGCACCGTGGGAAAAGCGAGCATGGGCACTAGAGAAATCGTTGCGTCTGTCACATTGTCATGTCAGATGTTGGATCTTTTCAGCCTTCAGTGTGTGGCAGTCATGGGGACATAATCACACAACCATTCTAGTCTCTAGGGTGTAGTGGAGCTAAGCACATAGCTGTGCATCCATCCGAAGTGTTGGCAGCTCCCGCACCCTTCCTGTTCTCTTGGCATCTAAGTCCTAGTCTGTTAAAGGACTTTCTTCCCATTAGAAGAAATTAACAGTATGACTGAAGTTATTATTTAAAAATAGAAAAAAGCTTCCACAATCATAGTCAGGTATTTTCAATGAAACAAATGTTTTTTAATGAAAATTTAAATTAGCATATAATGAATTTAATTATGATTTTTTCATAAATATGTCACTGTATTTTGTTCATTCCCATCCCCCACTGCTGATATTTTTTTTGAAGGTTGCATTAAGTCTCTTACCCTTGCCAATTGATTTATATACAGTACATATGGCATGAGGTATAGGGGCAGACCATGAGGTCAGCATTGCACCATGCAAAATAATGAGAAACTTGCCAAAGTCTTGGCTCTTGACTTGGAGCAAATTGTAAGCACATGGGCCTTTCTAATGTGGGATTCCTTTGTTTATCATTCCTTCTTGGATCTTTGCCCTTCACGCTCATTTTCAAAGGTAGACACCATGGCATATAACCTGTAATCCTAGCATTCAGCAGGCAGAGGCAAGAAGGTGGAGTTCTAGACCAGTCTAGTATGCATAGTGCAGTCTTGCCTTAAAAAGCAAAACAAAGCAAAAAACCTAAAACACAAGGTTTATGAGTCCTACCTCGCCAGCATTTTCCTAACAGCTCTCGTGTCCTGTGCTTGGTCTTGGAGCCTTGTACTTCACAGAACTGGAATTTGATCCTTAGGACTTGACTTTCATTGTCTCTATTAACCAACTAACATTTTTTCTTTCTAGTGGTGTTGTTCCCCAAGTCAGCCCCAGGGTTGGGATAGATAGAAATACTTGTTAACAGAAATGAGAGCTTGTGTTTTGTTTGTTTATTTTTACATTTAAAGCATGTGTGTTTTAGTTTCCTTTCTGTTGCTGTGATAAACACTATGACCAGCGCCAACTTGCAGAGGAGTTTGTTTCATCATACCTACGGGTTACATTCTGTATCATCAAGGGAATTAAAGTCAGGGACCTGGAGGCAGCAACCATGGAGGAATACTGCTTATTGCCTTCTTTTCAATGTTTGCTCACTTTGTTTTTTATGTAACCCAGAATCACCTTTCTGGGATGGTACTGCCCACAGTGGGCTGGGGCTCTCCTACATTAACCAAGAAAATCCCTTGCTCTCCTACATTAACCAAGAAAATCCCTTACAGACATACCTGTAGGCCAGTCTCATAGAGACAATTCCTACATTAAAGCTCCCTCTTTCCAAGTGACTAGTTTATGTCGAGCGATAAAAACTGCCCAGCACAATGAGCCATTTATTTATTTATTTAATTAATTTTTTTTTTAATGCACTAAGTTGTCAACAGTGAAACTGTATTTTAAAAGTTAAGAAATAAGTAGATTGATGAGCATGAAAGTAGTCATCCAAACACTGTGGGGTTTCAGCTGACTCTTGGAATTAAGAAATTAGAAAAATGACCCAAAAGAGGTATGGTATGGGTAGAAGTGAGGACACAAGCAGGGAAGAATGACCAGTGTTGTATGCACCTTGTCTGAACAGCCTGCCTCTGCAAGGAGAGCCAAGGTGGTGGAGAGAGCTGTGCTGTAGTGTTAAGAGTTGTGGGCTGACAGATAGAGGAGTCTTGTTGCCTTGTCGGCAGCACAACAAAATAAAGGGTTTGGAAGGAGGGAAAAGGCAGTGGTGTCAGAGACTTGGTGGGCATGGCTGAACAGAAGGGTCTGGAACTGTCAACAAGTTTGTTCAGGACTAGACAAAAGGAACCTGTACCCACCTGAAACTTAGGTTCTGTGAAATCACCTGTGAAGGACAGAGCCAAGATCCTAGGCCTCTAATCATACTTTACTGTTCAAAATTCTTGTTCATCTCACGTGACCCAGATCATACATCATGTTTCTAGACCTTTATAATATACTTGACCCAAGCTTAGAATATTTGGAAACATGAAAGGAAAATTTTAGCCATGGAACCATTTTCTTCTTGATTATTGCTGAATTACTGCCCATTTCTAGAGGGGAAACAAGTTCAGAGATCAGTCTGCCACACTCGTACACAGGAAAGACTTAACTCCTGGGATGGGGTATAGCTTAGTGGTAAATATATATCCTTGTGAAGCTCTGGACTGACTCTTCTGTGCTACAAAGGAAAAAAAAAACAAAGAAGTCTTCAGTTCTGTATTGTGTTGTGGATATAAATCTTTTTCTCTAATATTAGTCTGCTGGAGAGTGACCATAATCAGAGTTAATGTTATTTCCAGTTGAAAAAGTTTTCCAGTTCAGAATGGCTTAATTTCTTTAGAGTCCAGTGTGACTTGGGTTTTGATTTCTCTGGTTTGGTGTCCTGATGCAAAGGACCTAATTTTTCATAATAGTAGACTCAGGCTTCATCATGCATCCTTGTCCACTCTTCTTCCTCTGTCAGGTATCAGGTAGAGAATTAGAACATCAAGCCAAGCTGAAGTCACAGTCCAGCCTATGTTCCCTTAAACTTAGTATACAAGAACAGGTCTTGATTTACTGGTTCAGCCTTGTGAAGGTGGGTCTTGGCGGAGTGGTATTTTTTTATGCTTAGATGTAATATGATCACTGCTCTGCTGAGTGGATTGGAGGTTTTAGACTTTGATGGTTAATCTTTATTGTCACCTTGACTGGATTTAGAATCACTAGGAGACACTGTGATACCTTTGTGTTGTCTGCGAAGATGTTTCCAAAGAGATTTAACTGAGAAGGGAGACATACCGCTGTAGCAGCATCATTCCATTGAGTATGTTCTAGCTAGACCGAACAGAAGAGGAAAGTGAAGGCATGAGTTGAGCACCAGCCTGCATCTCTCTTTGCTTCTTAACTGTGGATATAGCGTGACTCCCACGGCCAGACCCTCTCAGCCCTCAAACCATGAGACACAACATCAAAAACTTACCTTAAGTTGCTTGAAGGGGCGCAGTGCGATTGAACAGAATGTGATTGGCTGAACTCCCCTATCAGTTAGTTGCTTTTATCTGGTACTTTTGTTATAGCAGGAGAAAAGTGACTAATTCACAGGTTTTCTGTCCTCATTTCTTAGTGAAGGGTCCTAGGCGATAGGGTGGCAGAAGGTAGTCACTAACAAAAATACAGGTATACTGAGGCCAGGCCCTGTGCGGGAACTTGTTTTCCTCCTTCCTTGTTGAAGGATTGGTAGTTTTCTGGGCCATGGTCAGTGCTGGCAGATACTTATTTGATGACAGCATTTAGATGGGATGAGCTGAGTGTAATAGGTCAGAGGGGAATTCAGGACAGAATCTTGGTTCTGACTTGAGCAGCTGGGGCCTGTAGGTAGAGCTGTCAAGAAAGGGGACATTATGAATTAATTCAGGATTGAACATGTCACACTTGGAATTTTGGGAACCTGATAAAATAAATGTTTGGTTTTTTGGTCCATTCCCCCACCCCCAGCAGTGAATTGGATAATGGAGCTCAAAACGTTAGAGCCAGAGGGGCCTGGAGTAGTGGGTCATGCCTTTAATTAATCCCAGTTGATGTAGGTGGGTCTTCTATCTATCTGTTGCTTTCATTGGTTAATTAATAAAGAAAACTGCTTGGCCTGATAGGTCGGAACATAGGTAGGCGGAGTAGACAGAACAGAATGCTGGGAGAAAGAAGCAAGAGTGAGAGAGAGGCAGAGAGCCGCCCGCTATGAAGCTTCCAGGTCAGACATGCTGAATCTTTCCCGGTAAGCCACGACCTTGTGGTGGCATACAGATTATTAGAAATGGGTTGAATCAATATGTAAGAGCTAGCCAATAAGAGGTTGGAACTAATGGGCCAGGCAGTGTTTAAAAGAATACAGTTTCCATGTAATTATTTCAGGGGTAAGCTAGCCGGGATCCAGGCAGGAATGCAGCCCGCTCCTTCCTCTACACCCTGTATTGGGAGGCAGAGGTCAGTTCAAGGCCAGCCTGGTCTACAGAGTGAGTTCCAGTAAGTAACAGCCAAGACAGTTACACAGAGAAACCATGTCTTGAAAAACAAACAAACAAAAAAGTTAGAGCCAGAGATGAAATTTAGGAATTGGTATGTGGGCACTCTGAAGGAAACAGTTAAAAATTCTCTGTCAACTGCACAATGCCATTTTAATATACGAAATAGTATATTACCACTTGTTTTTTGAATGAGACAGATGAATAGCTAGCTGTTCACCATGCCTATTTCCGTACTGTATTCATCATGTTTGTAGTATGGGAATGAAAGCTCAGCGAAAGAAAACACAAGACAAGTATCCTGGGTTTGCAGGCTGCCAGGACAGTGCAGTGCAGGTGAGAAGTCTCTGTCCATACAGTGATGGAGTCACCGTACCATTAAGATTTCATAGTGCATTTTGAATATAAGATAGATTGGTATGAAGACCTCTGGTACAAGTTAGGATGGTCAGCCCTGTCTCCTGATGAGCCACTTACACTCTTGGTTTTGTGGATTGTTGGGACAATACTGCACTCCTCATCCTGCCTATTTGCAGGAGGAAGCTGCTTGTTCATTCCCATCTGCCCAGCTAGCTTAGACCCGAAATAATCACACAAAACTATATTTAAATCACTGCTTGGCCCATTAGCTCTAGCTTCTTATTGGCTAACTCTT